ATTTTCTGGGCGATAATAATCTTCATCACTTATCTTGGCGATACCTACCAAAAAGGCACATTTACCTCTGTGTGAACGGCTTAAAATAATAGATCCTCTTAATTTTCTGGGCGATAATAATCTTCATCACTTATCTTGGCGATACATACCAAAAAGGCACACTTACCTCTGTGTGAACGGCTTAAAATAATAGATCCTCTAAATTTTTTTGGCGATAATAATCTTCATCACTTATCTTGGCGATACCTACCAAAAAGGCACACTTACCTCTGTGTGAACGGCTTAAAATAATAGATCCTCTTAATTTTCTGGGCGATAATAATCTTCATCACTTATCTTGGCGATACCTACCAAAAAGGCACATTTACCTCTGTGTGAACGGCTTAAAATAATAGATCCTCTTAATTTTCTGGGCGATAATAATCTTCATCACTTATCTTGGCGATACCTACCAAAAAGGCACACTTACCTCTGTATGAACGGCTTAAAATAATAGATCCTCTTAATTTTCTGGGCGATAATAATCTTCATCACTTATCTTGGCGATACATACCAAAAAGGCACACTTACCTCTGTGTGAACGGCTTAAGATAATAGATCCTCTTAATTTTTTTGGCGATAATAATCTTCATCACTTATCTTGGCGATACCTACCAAAAAAAGGCACACTTACCTCTGTGTGAACGGCTTAAAATAATAGATCCTCTTAATTTTTTTTGGCGATAATAATCTTCATCACTTATCTTGGCGATACCTACCAAAAAGGCACACTTACCTCTGTGTGAACGGCTTAAAATAATAGATCCTCTTAATTTTTTTTGGCGATAATAATCTTCATCACTTATCTTGGCGATACCTACCAAAAAGGCACACTTACCTTTGTGTGAACGGCTTAAAATAATAGATCCTCTTAATTTTCTGGGCGATAATAATCTTCATCACTTATCTTGGCGATACATACCAAAAAGGCACACTTACCTCTGTGTGAACGGCTTAAGATAATAGATCCTCTTAATTTTTTTGGCGATAATAATCTTCATCACTTATCTTGGCGATACCTACCAAAAAGGCACACTTACCTCTGTGTGAACGGCTTAAAATAATAGATCCTCTTAATTTTTTTTGGCGATAATAATCTTCATCACTTATCTTGGCGATACCTACCAAAAAGGCACACTTACCTCTGTGTGAACGGCTTAAAATAATAGATCCTCTTAATTTTCTGGGCGATAATAATCTTCATCACTTATCTTGGCGATACATACCAAAAAAAGGCACACTTACCTCTGTGTGAACGGCTTAAGATAATAGATCCTCTTAATTTTCTGGGCTATAATAATCTTCATCACTTATCTTGGCGATACCTACCAAAAAGGCACACTTACCTCTGTGTGAACGGCTTAAAATAATAGATCCTCTTAATTTTTTTTGGCGATAATAATCTTCATCACTTATCTTGGCGATACCTACCAAAAAGGCACACTTACCTTTGTGTGAACGGCTTAAAATAATAGATCCTCTTAATTTTCTGGGCGATAATAATCTTCATCACTTATCTTGGCGATACATACCAAAAAGGCACACTTACCTCTGTGTGAACGGCTTAAAATAATAGATCCTCTTAATTTTCTGGGCGATAATAATCTTCATCACTTATCTTGGCGATACCTACCAAAAAGGCACACTTACCTCTGTATGAACGGCTTAAAAATAATAGATCCTCTTTATTTTTCTTGGCGATAATAATCTTCATCACTTATCTTGGCGATACCTACCAAAAAGGCACACTTACCTCTGTGTGAACGGCTTAAAATAATAGATCCTCTTAATTTTCTGGGCGATAATAATCTTCATCACTTATCTTGGCGATACATACCAAAAAAAGGCACACTTACCTCTGTGTGAACGGCTTAAAATAATAGATCCTCTTAATTTTTCTGGGCGATAATAATCTTCATCACTTATCTTGGCGATACCTACCAAAAAGGCACACTTACCTCTGTGTGAACGGCTTAAAATAATAGATCCTCTTAATTTTTTTGGCGATAATAATCTTCATCACTTATCTTGGCGATACCTACCAAAAAAAGGCACACTTACCTCTGTGTGAACGGCTTAAAATAATAGATCCTCTTAATTTTCTGGGCGATAATAATCTTCATCACTTATCTTGGCGATACATACCAAAAAGGCACACTTACCTCTGTGTGAACGGCTTAAAATAATAGATCCTCTTAATTTTCTGGGCGATAATAATCTTCATCACTTATCTTGGCGATACCTACCAAAAAAAGGCACACTTACCTCTGTGTGAACGGCTTAAAATAATAGATCCTCTTAATTTTTCTGGGCGATAATAATCTTCATCACTTATCTTGGCGATACCTACCAAAAAAAGGCACACTTACCTCTGTGTGAACGGCTTAAAATAATAGATCCTCTTAATTTTTCTGGGCGATAATAATCTTCATCACTTATCTTGGCGATACCTACCAAAAAGGCACACTTACCTCTGTGTGAACGGCTTAAAATAATAGATCCTCTTAATTTTCTGGGCGATAATAATCTTCATCACTTATCTTGGCGATACCTACCAAAAAGGCACACTTACCTCTGTGTGAACGGCTTAAAATAATAGATCCTCTTAATTTTCTGGGCGATAATAATCTTCATCACTTATCTTGGCGATACCTACCAAAAAGGCACACTTACCTCTGTATGAACGGCTTAAAATAATAGATCCTCTTTATTTTCTTGGCGATAATAATCTTCATCACTTATCTTGGCGATACCTACCAAAAAGGCACACTTACCTCTGTATGAACGGCTTAAAATAATAGATCCTCTTTATTTTCTTGGCGATAATAATCTTCATCACTTATCTTGGCGATACCTACCAAAAAGGCACACTTACCTCTGTGTGAACGGCTTAAAATAATAGATCCTCTTAATTTTCTGGGCGATAATAATCTTCATCACTTATCTTGGCGATACCTACCAAAAAGGCACACTTACCTCTGTATGAACGGCTTAAAATAATAGATCCTCTTAATTTTCTGGGCGATAATAATCTTCATCACTTATCTTGGCGATACATACCAAAAAGGCACACTTACCTCTGTATGAACGGCTTAAAATAATAGATCCTCTTTATTTTCTTGGCGATAATAATCTTCATCACTTATCTTGGCGATACCTACCAAAAAGGCACACTTACCTCTGTGTGAACGGCTTAAAATAATAGATCCTCTTAATTTTTTTGGCGATAATAATCTTCATCACTTATCTTGGCGATACATACCAAAAAGGCACACATACCTCTGTGTGAACGGCTTAAAATAATAGATCCTCTTAATTTTCTGGGCGATAATAATCTTCATCACTTATCTTGGCGATACATACCAAAAAGGCACACTTACCTCTGTGTGAACGGCTTAAAATAATAGATCCTCTTAATTTTCTGGGCGATAATAATCTTCATCACTTATCTTGGCGATACCTACCAAAAAGGCACACTTACCTCTGTGTGAACGGCTTAAAATAATAGATCCTCTTAATTTTCTGGGCTATAATAATCTTCATCACTTATCTTGGCGATACATACCAAAAAGGCACACTTACCTCTGTGTGAACGGCTTAAAATAATAGATCCTCTTAATTTTCTGGGCGATAATAATCTTCATCACTTATCTTGGCGATACCTACCAAAAAGGCACACTTACCTCTGTGTGAACGGCTTAAAATAATAGATCCTCTTAATTTTCTGGGCGATAATAATCTTCATCACTTATCTTGGCGATACATACCAAAAAGGCACACTTACCTCTGTGTGAACGGCTTAAAATAATAGATCCTCTTAATTTTCTTGGCGATAATAATCTTCATCACTTATCTTGGCGATACCTACCAAAAAGGCACACTTACCTCTGTATGAACGGCTTAAAATAATAGATCCTATTAACTTACTTGGCGATAATAATCTTCATCACTTATCTTGGCGATACCTACCAAAAAGGCACACTTACCTCTGTATGAACGGCTTAAAATAATAGATCCTATTAACTTACTTGGCGATAATAATCTTCATCACTTATCTTGGCGATACCTACCAAAAAGGCACACTTACCTCTGTATGAACGGCTTAAAATAATAGATCCTATTAACTTACTTGGCGATAATAATCTTCATCACTTATCTTGGCGATACCTACCAAAAAGGCACACTTACCTCTGTATGAACGGCTTAAAATAATAGATCCTATTAACTTACTTGGCGATAATAATCTTCATCACTTATCTTGGCGATACCTACCAAAAAGGCACACTTACCTCTGTGTGAACGGCTTTAAAAAATTTATCAAAACGTGTACCTGGTAAGCTCATCAATAAGATCGTAATTAATGACATCTGCTATCATGGTCCGATAAGTGTCCTCCGAGTCAAAAAAGTATATAGTATTTGTCGGATTATGAATACGGTAGTAGACTCTCTCTCTGTAATAAAGGGAGTTTCCGTCCAAAAACGTCTCTAGTAATTATTGAAATGAGAACACACATTGATTGTGGAAGCTCGGAACTCGAATTTACTCAATTTGGTTAACAAAGAAGTTCATTAACTCGAGCGAGAACTAGTTGAATTACGCACCTGACTTAGTTGTATCCGAGTCTCCGATCTTCTCTTCGTTGCGTTGACCATCCATTCCAATTCTGTCTAGACGCCAACAGCGACGGTCGGACCGGCAGCGGGGCATTCTGAAGTGAATCGATCGAGTTCGGCGAGGCGGACCCTCGTCCGAGAGATGCAGAGAAAAAAATTTGCCGCGCAGGTGGCGTAGGTCAAAACGGCGGAGTGTCGTACCAATCGAATGAGTGTGTAACGTGTTTCACGGGATTTCGAAACTATTTTCATGCTTCAATGCTATTTACAATTTCTGTTTCCTTATATATTTATTTTCCAATAAATTTGTGTATAAAAAGTCAAATGTAAGAACCCGAACAAAATCTAATTAGCTTCGATATGATCCTGCTGCAGTCCATGCATCAAGAGCATATTCTTCTCCATTGTCGAGGGTAAAATCTTGAAAATCGCCGTATCCTTATCTTCCACAATTATCCAGATTTCTACAAAAATATTATCAATATCGATTGATTGTGGCGGCGGCCAGAACTGTTCTAAACATTAACAAATTTCAGCTCACCATCCTTGTCCAGTTTCCCATTTTCATCTCTGTCATAGTGATGAACAACATATCCGGCTGTGGTTTTAACAGAAAATCCCATTTTTTCAACGATAAAGCATTCAACTTCATCGACTCCCAGGAAACCGTCTCCATCGTTGTCACAGTCCTGAAATGGTTCTGTGTTGCAAAAAAGAAAACGGCAGAGACCACCCCACCTCAAATCCCCTATCAGAAAACCCGCGAATGATGTCCTTGAAGTGATTGTTCACTTCTTCTCTTGCTAAATGAAACTGCTTTATCTTTTTGTTTTTTAGGTTGCGAAACACGAAACGGTCAACCTACTCATTGAGGAAAAACCTGAAGCTGCTTCGTTCAGAAAACTATTTCCCTCGCTCTCATCTTCGAAATCATGCACGTCCTCGTCATGTGCATAGTGCGGATACTCTTCGTTCTCATCGAATTCATCGAATTCTGAAGAAACATCATTTTTAGAAAATGTTTTTTCAAAATTAAGGACAAACCTGTAGCAAGCGCCAAACAGACAACAATGACAATAGTGAGCAAAGCTAACAGCACAAACTTCATGCTCCGTTTTGGTTTCAGATTTTTTGACATGAATATGTTTGAGTAAAAGATGAATGAAAACTACTCTTGTTCTACTTGTTCTACTCTTTTTTACACGTCGGCTACATTTGATTCTAGATTCTACTCTATTCCGACGGATTATCGTCGGATTTCGGTTCCCACATTGTCACACCAAAGGGCAACCCTCCACACTTTACAACTGAAAAAAGTTTTGAGGTAGAAAAGATCTGGAGCGAAATAAATAATTGGCACCTGGAAAAACGTCTCAGGGCCAAACACAATGGGATAAGAAGATTGAGGTCGTTGGACGTTATCGAGAATAGTTTGGCACAAAAAATGGCACTTTTTGGATCAAGGTCGGTGCGAAGGGAAGGCCGATGATGAATTGCGGGCGTCTTTTCTCATTTGAGATGAAATTGGGTGTGTTTGGTCAGCGCACACACATCTACCGCAAAACCGAGATTCGAGATGACCGACTTGGTGCTCTTCACCTAGATTTACATCTTTTCCGCTGTCTGGCTGTGCACTCGTTTCTCATTTGCCACTTCTTAGGTTTTCACAAGTGTTCTTTTAGAAAAATCTGTGAAATGTTCTCACAAATGACAGTTTTTAGAGCTTTCAAAACTCCCAAGTGATTTTCTCAGCAGTAAGCCAGTACCAACCCCTTATTGCTCAGTTTCTATCAGACCCAGCAGTAATTGGTTCAAACGAAGTCAGTCGTTAGCTACCGTACACCTCATTACCTATCACCAATAACTTGACCCAACACTCACACTGCTTGTAAACCAATAAACATTTGTGAAAGCAGAAAAATTCCCAAGATAATCGCATTTTTGGTCAAATTATCCTAAATTCAGGTCATCACTAAATTCCGTACAACCTAAGTACCAGTCTCCGAAATCAGCGCATCCGTCTCTCTTCTCTGTTTTTATCATCTCCCTGCCTGCCTTTTTCCGTTGACTAACCCCCAAATCACACTCTGAGGGGAGGAGTGAGCATTCCAATGGCACTGACCTACTTCAGGAGTGAAGCGGCCTTGCTTCGCGCCGTTATCATCTTCAGTTTTACTCGTAGTAGCCGCCTGTCGGCCGAATCCGTTTCTTTTTTCATCTCCTCTTAGTTAGTATGTCATTTATCAGCAGGAAGTCGAGAGGTCTCTGTTTTGAAACTATTCATACCTCCCCCTGACAAAGTTACCTTGAGACTCAATGAGATACTAGTACTTCACACAGATCTTATCGCATTTTTTCGTTTCCGCATTTACTTTATACTCGACTCTTCCTTATTCCTTTCAATTCTCAGTTTTCTAGATGAGGTATGCGTGGATGGTCTCGTTGGCGTTATTATTAGCAGCAACACTTGTGGAAAGCAGCAGTCTTCTCAGCAAGACTATCAATTCCGATGGATCAAAAGGTCAGTTCTCGTTTTCTCCTCCTAATAATTCAATAGTCCTGTAATTCAGATTTCAACATTGTGAAACATATCAAGAAGAACACTTGTACATGCTCTTGCAAGTGTGTTCCAGACGTTCCAACCAATCCGTTCGATGTCACCACCACCATTTCTTCTATCAACAATGATAACGTTGACATTGGACCAAGTGTCGACCCGAATCCATCTGGATCTTCTCTGTTTCAAGAGATTGAGGCTCATGCGGGTGATGTTACCACAGGATCGCCGAGCTCGGAGCTGAGCATTGATTCGAGCGTGTCTGTGGAGAAGAGTGAGAGCACCACCTCCACTACGGAAGCCCCTGCTTCTTCTACCGAAGCTGAGGTCACGGTAGTCACCGGAGAAGTGATTGCCGTTACATCCGAGGAAACCACCACCACAGAGGTTCCAACTACTATTGCGGAAAAAGTGACAACGACAACTGAAGCTTCTACGACTACAGAGGCAGCTACTACAGAAACTCCGACAACCACCGAGAATGTGTCTACAAGCACTGAAAGTTCTACCACAACCGAGGAGCCAACAGAAATTCCAACAATCAACGAGGTTACTACTACTACAGAAGTTCCATCTACTGTTTCTGAGGAAGTGACGACAACTACCGATGACGTCACTACCGCTACTGAGGAGGTTACTACAACAACCGAGGAGCCTACTACAACTTCGGAAACTACCACCACCACCACCACCACAACCTCAACGGAACCCGCCACTTCTCCAGAGACCAACGACAAGATCGCCGGCCCGGTCACAGGAAAACCGGAGACCACCCATTTCCCAATCACTGGAACCACTCCAAACTTTGACTCTACCACCACTACTATCACCTCGGAAACACCAGTGATTGCGAGATCTGAAGATAAAGAGGAGGAAGTGTCCACGACCACCGCCACAGGTTTGTTTGGCCGTTCAAAGATCGGTTGAATTAGATAACAGAAGATTCTGGGTTGATTAGCTAATTTCCACCCGCGCGGCGAAAAAAGAAAAGATGATAGAATGACGGAATGTTTCTTGACAAGGGCGCTAGTGCTAAAAGAAGATAGAAAATAAGGCTTGGCAAAAATCGTGAACTTTTGCAGTTGAATCAGTGGAAACGACAACGGAACTTGAAGTGACCACCCAGGAAGCTACTACAGGTTAGAAACTTGACATTTGACATGTAATAAAAAACTTTGGCTTTTCAGAGACTTCTGAAACAACTAGTGTGACTCAAAATTCTGAAGAACCAACCACTACTACCTTAACCAGTAATAACAATGGGTTTCACAGCACTCTCAAACTGAAAGTTTCCACTTCTGAAACCGATGCTTCAACCGAAGCCACAACTTCTGAGCCAGTGACTGACACCACCACTCCAACAACGGAAACCACTGCTCATGCGGTTACAAAGCCAACAAAGAAGGAGAAAGTGAAAGTGACTCCGAAGTTAGAATTGTCTATTGATGAGCCTACCAAAGTGACCAAGAAGGTTTCGCCTGTCAAATCTGGTAAAACAACGACGACCACTACTACGACTACTCCAGAACCGACCACCACGACAACTACCGAAGCGCCTACGACAACTGAGGAACCAACTACGGTCACTGAGGAAATTACCACCACAACGACGGAAGAGCCAACTACGACGACTGAGGAATTGACGACCACAACCACGGAAGAACCTTCGACATCTACCGAAGAAGTCTTTACCACCACGGAAGAATCTACTACTGCAACCGAAGAACCAGCAACTACTACTGAGGAAGTTACCACTACTTCCGAAGAGCCAACTACAACTACTGAGGAAGTTACGACTACTACCGAAGAGCCAACTACAACTACTGTGAAAGTTATCACTACTACCGAGGAGCCAACTACAATTACTGTGGAAGTTACCACTACTACCGAAGAGCCAACTGCAACTACTGAAGAAGTTACCACTACTACCGAAGAGCCAACTACAACTACTGAGGAAGTTACAACTACAACCGAAGAGCCAACTACAACTACTGAGAAAGTTACCACTACTACCGAACAGCCAACTACAACTACTGTGGAAGTTACCACTACGACTGAACCCCCAACTACGACCGTTGAGGCTACTGAAGCATCAACTACTCAGAAGAGAACTACTGTCAAAGCGAAACCAACGAAGAAGACGACTAAGGCGGCAACTACTACCACGACAGAACCAACAACCACCACCACTGAGGCAATGACAACGGAAGCAGTGACCACGACTCAAGAACCGGCAACAACGACCGAGGAAGTGACTACCACTACCACCGAAGAGTCTACCACTACTGCCGAGGAGACTACTACATCAGCTGAAACTACAACTGCCACCGAAGAGCCTACTAAAACTGTCGAGGAGACCACAACCATCACCGAGGAGTCTACTTCAACTTCAACTACCCCTGAGCCAACCACAACCGAGCCGGAAGCGTTTGTCACGGAAATCACAACAGAAACCTCCACTCGTCGGGAACTCCCAGAAAGATGGAAGGAGATTGTGAGCAAACTGAAGCATAAGCTCGATGTTCTCAAGGAGCAGAAGAGGTTGTTGAGAGAAAAAGAGCAAAACTCAACTACGACTACTGTGGCTGCTGGGGAAGTGGCAGAGACGACTACGTTGGCGGAAAGTGTGGATGAAGTGAACAGCACTGAGAAGGCTGATGAGGTTACTACTACATCCGTCACTGCTACCGAAGCTTCAACAGTTTCGGAGACTACTACTCCAGAGGTAACTACTGTAGAATCAGAGACCACGACAACTCCAGAACTGAGCACATCGGAATCAAGTATTGCTGAAACTACAACTCCCAAAGAAACTACTGAAAATCCGACTACCACAGCTTTGGAATTTACCACCACTACGGTTATAACTGAAGAAACCACAACAACTGCGGAGTCAACTGCGTCATCTTCTGAGCATTCGGAAGCCAATTCTGCTGAGAAACCTGGGGCCCGTCGTGATTTTGTTCCGAAGAAGCATACAACTGTGAAGCCATCTGAAACTGAAACTGAAACTACAACAACTGAAGCCACAACCACCACTGAAGTCACTGAAGCGCCAACAACCATCACCACTACAGAAGAAGTAACTGGAGACGGAGACGGGAACGCGTTTGTCACTGGAGCGCCAGTCGATGGTAAGTTAGAGGGTGAACGTAAAGAAAATAAATATTTTCAATTTGTAGAAACTACCATCAACACATTGGAACTTCTCGAGAAGATCAACAACACGAGATTTTCGCAGCCAAAGCCGACGGATATCTCAAAGACCGATGCCTTGTCGTCTCTTATTAGTGGACTCATTGGATCGTTCTCCAAGACAACTGTAGCTCCCAGGTATCATAGTTTTCAAGAAAACACTCAATGTTTGTTCAGAGTGGAAGAGACTGAAGCGCCATTTGTGGCTGCCACCGAAGAGACCACAACTGAAGCTGTACGAAGAGTTCAATCATCCATTGAAATGGATAAGGAAGATGAGTTTGAGAAGAGAATCAGAGAGCAGAGAATTCAAATGGAGCAGGTATCCTTATTCCCGTGTCCCGGAATCTAAAATCACTTTTTTCGAAGGCTAAGCGTCTTCGCGAAGAAGAACTCCTAGCGCAGCAAAATCAGGAGCGCGAGTTGGAAGAGCAAGCACGCCAGGAGTTGTTGGAGAGAAAGGAGAAGATGATGAAGCAATTGGAGGAGTTGAAGGAAGCAGAAGAGAGACAGCGAATCCTCCTGGAGCAGGAAAGATTGCAGGAAGCTGAAAGACTCCGGCTCATTGAGCAAAAGCAAGCGGAAATTGAGTTTGGATCGATTTCTACAACTACAGAGGCGTCCAAGTTCAAGTACAGATTGAGACCAACTCAGGTAAATAAATTTGAAAAGTAGAATGATTATGAAAACGTATCTTTCAGTGCGCCGCGATCAACAAGTTCACCAGAGTGTTCAACATCACAGATCCATCCGAATGGATTCAGAAGAACTGTGAATTTGCGAAACGCTACTTCCCTGAAGCGTCCTGCCCACAAATCCAGTCCCTCATTGAATCCTGCTTCGCCTTTCTTTAGATAACTTTCTGTTCTCATCTCACTTTCAATCCAATATTCTTGACATTTTCCCCCGCATAATTCTCAGTGTTCCTCCCAGAAATCCCCCGCTCGCTACGTGTCTTTGTGCTTTTAAGAATTCTCTCAGTTTGATACAGTTCTCATACTTTCCCCCCATCATACTTAGTTTCTTACACAACCATTTATGTAGTATGAATTTCTTTCTCAGAAAAAATTACAATAAAACCTTGAAAATGTAGACATATGAAAAAAAGAAGAAAAATAGAGAATAGCACTCAAAACCAGCGAAAAAGTGATTTGAAAAAGGAGAGAAGAGAAAAAGAAGGGAAATCACAAAACACGAGATGGGGACAGAGACAGAAAGCTATTATATTTATATTTATATGAACATATTGATAGTAACGCGCTTTAAGAAAAACCATGGTTCGATCCTATCCGTACTAGTTTCTCAAGTATTTCATTCATAAGACGGTAGATTACTTCTACAGTAACCCTGACTAAAAACGACGGGTCGGAACGATAAATCCTGATCAAGATATTTCAACTCGATTCGACGAGTTTCCTTTGTTTCTGAATGTACGTACATCCGCATTTACCAGTGACTATTTGGCATATTTGGGGAAGGAGTCATGACAACATGTTAGAGGGGAAAATGACTTAAAAGATGCGCTTCTTGATACCGAGAAGCGCATTACAACGGGGACAATAATGGTGGGCGTCTTTGCAACTGTCCAGGCAGAATGGCACGAAGGCGAGGGGGAAGAAGCAAATGAAGACGAGGACGAACACGATCCAAGTAAGGGTGCCGATCACGAATTTGGGCAGGGTATGCACGAATTTCTGAAAAAAATTGGGTGAAGAACGTCAAATTTGTCTAAGGAATATTGCAATTTGGTCAAAAGTCTGCATGTTTTTTGTCGAGCATTGAATGTGAGTCAAACCCAAAGATTTTTGAAACTTTAGGATCCCATAAAAGAAACTCATCTTCATCGCCTTTTCTATCATTTGAAATGGCGAGCTGGTCAGAAAATAGGAACAATTTCCAAGTTTCATATTTTCCCACCCTTTACGCACGTTATTAGTCGCAATTCACATGCAGTCCAAACTTTTTTGCAAGCTGTTTACGCAGTGAACCGACACGATCAGAAAAAGGACAAAGATGAATCAGTCTGGGGCTTGGTGAAGTCCCCACAGGTTTTATAATATGATTTCTGAAATAGACTCACCCCACAACTATAGCACGTGGTCTCATAACTGGCAAACGACGGCGCTGGCTTTGGAGCGGTCACAATCACGACAGTCGGTGGGGGTTGTCCTCCCGGCAACACCACATTCTGAAGCTGTTCGACATCGATGACAGTCGGTTGGGTGAGCGGCACAAATGGCGGCGGTGAGACTTTGTAGTTGTGCTCGGGGGTTCCCATTGTGGATTCCTGAAAGAATGCATGATTTGTTTTGAGGGCACGAAAAGAGAAAGTTCGGAGAATAGCAATTTTATGGGTGGGAAGTGGAAATAGTTTGGTTTATGAGCATGCATCCAAGTTCTTTTTTTCCTCTTTTCCTATTTCTACAAATATAGGAAAAACGAGAAGAGAGGGAGAGATGCTAGTGAGAAGCCATAAGATCCGTGCGTGCTCCATGAGAGCACAAAGCTCTAGTATTTCATCAAGGAAAGTGATGCGACATCAAAAAGAGGCTGCGAGTCATGTGAGAGCACTTCTGAATAGTAAAAAAGTAGAAAGGAATCTCCGCCCTCGTGCTTTACTGATTTGTTAAACTAAAGTTGGAAGCGGAAACGAAACGGAAACCAATTCCAAATTAGTCACACCTGGCAGTGCGCGCAGGCGAAACCAAAAATTGGGGAAAAAAACGTATATAATCAGCAGCAAGTCTGCCGCTGAAATCGAAGCTCAGTCACTCAATGTTCAGCACCAAAAACTACGCGTTTCGAGCATTTCCGATTTTTAAAATGCCCCAATTTTCGAATCAAATTTGAATTTTTCACAAAAAAGGTTGGGGGAGGTCGTTAAACACGAAAGTATGCATGTATGGGAATTCCAGTCAACCACCGAATGTTAGTGTTTATTTTCGATCAACCCGACTTGACATTATATGCAAATTTTGTGAATTCGAAAGAATTGCATTTTGGACAAGAAAAAACGGTCTCAGTTTCAAGAAATAAACCACTTTTTGGCAAAACACTTCGAATAGAAGTTTCTCGTGCCTAACACCTACTGGGCATGTAAACATTATGCTTTTAGGAAAAGTTTCGATAGTGCCAATTAGCGCGCAATCAGCTCGTGTTTGAGTTTGAAATGTTCAGCATGCACCCCGCACAAACCGAAAAAGTCCTCAGTGGTTTAAGCGAGAAAAAGGCTGGGAGTACGTTCCCACGCTGAGAAAATCGAGAAAACCGCTTCAACCAAGGGTTTGGATTTCCAGAAAAGGTCAACAAAACAGACTCTTTTGGGCCTCAGAGCCTGTCGTCACGTGGCCCAGTCACCATGACGGCCACACACAATTTAGTGAAAGGACAACACTACGTAAGACGAGACGAAATGGAAAAACGGGGAGAAGGAAAGGTGAAAACGGGAAAGAAGAGCACGTCCCACCTTCTTGGCATTTCTGTTGTTCTGCTCTTCGTAGGGCGGTGGCGGACGGCGTGGGCTGTATGATGGTGGCGGTGATTCAGGCATCGTTTCTGAAAATGAGTTGAGAAATTATTGAGTAGCAAATGAACACGTTATCGGAGAAGAAAATGACAAAAAAAAATGCGGGAAAATGTGAGTTCCAGGATTATGTACTATCTGAAAAACTAGTTATACATGCATAGTAATCAGTGTATCCGAAGTTCAACACCGTTTTTCAATTGCATGTGACAACATGCTTTCCGCAGTAGTACAATTTGATGTTTCCCAAAGAAAAAACCGAAAAAATGATCTTGAATGTCCACTATGACTAAACGTGATCGCACTTGCGGTCGTCCTTCCCCTCCTCTCCATTTTCGCGATTATTTGCATATTTCAAGCGTCTTTTCGTCTTTTCCGGATTGAAAAAGTGGAAAAAAGAGAAAGAGAGAGAGAGAGAGAGAGTGTAAGGATGACGATGATGATGACCATCCGAATAATAACAATATTTGTTGGCTGGCGTGGTGTGTTTGACAGAGGAAAGAGTAGGGTAGGACGTGACAGTCAAAAAAGGTCAGAGTCGCTTGGATGGGAATACTTGTTGATTGACATGAAAAGGAAAGGGGGAAAGGAGAAGCAGTGGAGATTTTATCGCGTGGTGAACCCTTAGTGGGCAAGAGAAACAAAGGATCGGGACCAAGGAACAATTAAGTGGTAATAGATCGGTTCCGATTGCACATATGTGGTGTCGTGTCCACGCGCTCAAACACCAAACGTTCTCTCCTTCTTTTCACTTCTTGACACCATGAAAAGGGGAGCTGACCAAACCAAAAACTTTGTGAGCACTGTGCCTCCCAGAAGAAGACCAGAAACGTCAACAAACACAAAGAAAGAAAGAGGAAATAAAGCAAGTACGTAGTAGGTCAACTCGGAATATTCTCGGCGCGAAAGTTTGCATCCGTATTGTGTCATGTCAGGAAACGAGGAGGATAGGAAGAAGGACAAGAAAATGATGAGTTAATTGAACCGCTCCACTTTTCCCTCGTTCCTCGTTTTCCTATTCCTCCTCCTTGTTTAGCCCGAAGCCAAAAGGACCCAACAAGTGTGAGTGTGAGGCTCAGATCTAATTTTCCTATTAGACGATCCATCAAAAGGGAGCGGGGCGAGCGAAAGTGGTGTGGAGGTCAAGAAGAAATTATCGCCCTACTGGACTGGTGCCAGCCGGTTAGGCCTTCAGGGGGGCACAATAAGCTTTTGGGCAAACAATTGGAGCGAAAGTGTGAAAAATGGGGCGAAAAAGTGGTGATGGTGATACTATCCGAGGTTGAAACCAGCCAGCACCAGCTTCCAGTTTTTCTTCTCTTTTCTCGCTCTTCTGAATAGAATAAAAGGAATTTGTATGTACGTGTACATATACCCCTTTTTCCAGTGACTCACCACCAACTAGGAAAGCCCCGTGAGTGACTAATACATTTATTACACCCCTTATACCCGAAAACGACGGGGTTTTGTGGCATCCTTCTTTCTCTCGTCGGAAAAGCCGCCTTCTCGGGGTGAGACGATACAGGCGATTAGGCAGGCAGTCAAATGCTGAACGGAAAACGTTTTCGCCATTGAAACCGAAACAACTGCCGGTGAACTCATTAATAATTCGTCTGGTGGCGACGGGGTGAGAAGAAATGAAAAGGAAGAACGCGATAGAAAGTTGGGAGAAAGTTCAATGATCGCATTGGGGGCAAACTACACAGATTTCCGAGAAAAGCCATCGAAAATCTCGAGACCAAAACGTGTTTTGCCAAGTTTTTACGGAGTTCGACTCGATCTGACAACCTGTCCAGGTTTTACTAGTAAAATTTGACTACACGAGTTCTGAGACAACATTTTTTGTGTGCGCATTACGTTTTCCGGCTTCCAATAGCTAATTTTAATTTGAAAAAATGCCAAAGAAACTGTGAGTTTCGTTCAAAAGAGCAGCAAAATCATCAAATTCAACAGAAAGTATCCTTCGTGTCAACCTAGACTGTGTATTTTGCAGACAGTTTGCCAAATAGTTTGAAGTCGGGCACAAAACTGGCACATCATGCCACAGGGCACGGAAAAGATTACTGTAGCACAGGTCTTACTTCCTGGAATTGTACAATATAACGGGCAAAAAAAAACTTGTGAAAAGCGAAAGCTCGCCGGTTGCCGCCAATCAGAAATCACTCACCTCGTGAAACTTTTGACGTACTCGTCACGTAAAGATGGGTGCCGCCTTTTCCTCAAGTGAAAGAGAGAGAGAGAGAGAGAGAGAGAGTGCTCCTCCCGTGTTATTTGTGGCCACTGTTTCGCCCTACGGCACAAAAGAGCGCAAATATACCCGTGGAGGGAGAAGAAGGGCGCCTTTCCATATCCGAACTACATCACGCAGAGCCCCGACCGCAGAAAGTATACCGTTTCACGCCGAAAACGCAGACTCGAGTATTGTTGTCATCCTCTTATTTGTTTGTTATTGACTGTAGGAGTGCATAGTAGTTAGAAGGCACGGAATGAAACGGATATGTGGTGAATAAGAGGGAATCTGAGCCGGGAAAACAATCCTTTTTATCTCATTTATGTTCCACGCCGCTATTTGGAAATGTCAAAACAGCATAGTATTATCCAGAACAAAAAGCTTAGGAACACTTGAGAGCAAATCATATAATGAAAATCTCATCATTCTTCAGCAACAGCAAGCGCATGCTGATCTAGTTACTACCCTTGAATGACAAAAGGCGGTGCCAGCAATGCAAAAGATGTTTATGAGATTTTCCCGGAAAATCCTTATTCATGTTTTTATTGCCGCCGCTAAGGGTCCTACCACCTGCCGCATGCAGCAGCTGGGGAAAAAGGACAACGGAAAATGGATACTTTCAATGTGCTGGGGCCGGGGCCGAATGACGAATTAGGTTCGAGAATGTTGAAGGTCTTTTTTCTCGAAGACAGGTGGGTGAGGTAGGTAACATTTTTGAATTGAAATGTTTGATCCTCTCGAGTGGCAGGTTCATCAAAATCAGCGCGCGATCAGGGTTAAGTGGTCAAACGGAAAGAGGGGTAAGAAAGAGGAAGAGGAGGAAAAAGGAACTTGGAAAGAACCTTATTGTAGATCAAAACAAAACCAAAGAACAATGCCAAGCCACCCGGAAAAATAATAGAGAGAAACAGAAACATTAGCGCCTTGAATCCTCTTGAGGTTTGCTAATCCTCATGCGCCTCCTACCGTATTCATCAGCACAGCTGTCCGTCTCTCCCCCGGACACCATCATCTGTCCAATCCAAAATGTAAGAAATTGACGGAAGAAAGTGTTCATATCAAAAAGTACTTCTATTCATTCACAGGCTGAATGACGACCGGAAGATTGATGAAATAGATAGACATACACACACACACAGACACTTTTTCATTTTCTATTTATTCCAAGTGCTGTTCCGTTTAGGTTAGCGGGTCATATTCATTCCATCAATCCAGGGCCGCGCGAATTGGGATGAAAAAGTGGGAGGGAGAGAAGGAGGAAGACGAACGGGACAGGACAGGAGGCGCCGGGGGTTTTGCCAGTTTCTTTAGTAGCCCTTCCGATCCGAATTCGATGATTCGACCATGTTCTGTTTGCGTTTGTACCTCGTGCCGCCCGACGCGCACTTCAAACATTCTTACAGTAGGTTATGGTTACTTTTTGGCAAAAAGTAAGATTGTAGCCCATCCTATCCTATGGCCGAATGTTTGTTCATAGCTTTTACAAAAGTCGACAAACAAAACGGTTTTTTTTCCAGAAATGCTTTGGGTTTAGTTTAAACTTTGGTTCTTTGTCTTAGAGGAAACGAAAGAAGGGGAAAAGTCATAAGGGTGAAAGAAAAGGAAGCCGGAATCCATTTTTGAGCACTCTATGCGCGGACAAGCTCGGGAGGAGGAGAGGGAAAAGGAAAGAGAAGAAAAACCGTGTTCTGTTCCCTCCACTTCATGATAATAAGCCATTGTGTTCCGCACTGTCTATGGAGCAGAAAGAGGGGAGACCGGGAGGAGAAAAAGTTGGGGGTGAGTGAGCATTGAGCATTGGGGGATTTTTAATTAGTTTTGCAGGTGATTTTTCCTGTTTCTATAAGTTTTTTATATCACTGAATTTACGGAAAATGTGCTAAAAGTAAGAAAAAAGCCGGAGCAGCTAAAAGCGGAAAACAAGAACGGAAAAGTGGTGGGTCTAGCCATTTTGGAGGGTAACATTAGGAGTAATGAGATTTCCGACAAAGAACTCGCTTGTTTTTGCTCTTTTTCTGTCAACTGACTTCTCTAAAAATTGGTTTTCAAAGAACGGGAAGGGCCGAAGGATGAATGAAGATAGAGTGGGTTTCAGGGACCTGGTTACAGTTTTCAGAGAATATTTGAGATTTTCTTGTAGATTTGGACTATTCTAAAACGTTGGTAGCAAACTCTCCGGGTTGACGAGCCGATTTTCGACAAATCTGGTATCAAAGAAACACACTTTTAGAAGAATTTCGAAAGATTGAAACGACACCCGGGAAACCGTAACTAACAAAGAAAATTTTTAAGAATAGAGCACATCTCGCCTCACTTCTGAACTAGTAAATTTGATATTTCCACAAATAATTTACGAAGCCACCCCAAGATCTCGTGAACTTTATCTCAATTAGCCTCCCACTCCCCCTCTTTCTCTCTCCTCCATCCTTCTTTTTCCCTCAACGACGAGACGACCAAAAACCAGAAGAAAACAAAAGAGAGTCAGTCAGCAAATTGAGTAACAGATGATTAGCGATAAGAAACATGTCAGTTGGAGTGATTGCAGCACAAAAAAGAGAAGAGCAAGGAAAAAAGAGAGGGATGTGGAGTTGCAATCGCAATTGCGGTTGGGACGGCGGGAGCTCCTATCTCCTATCTCTCAATCTCTTCATTTTAATTCGACGCGCCACTGTGAGACTTGTAACACGACTCCTCCTTCGCCACTTTTCAGCAAAACACACGAGGTTGACTCATGCGCTCGTGCTGTTCACCTCCTGATCAACAGTACAATATACAAGGTCTGGCTGGATAAATAAACAAAAGGGCAATAAAAATGGAACGTGGTCTAGTCTTATCAACACAAATGCCCTATCATTTGAATGAACGCGGTTAGGGGCCGGACCGGTCGGATTTCAGCCGATTTTGGAAAAGTCTGAAAATTTGAGTTGACGGATGATATAGAAGAAGAAAAATGTTGGAATCTGACAGCTTTTGGGGGGTGGCGGTGAGGTGAGGTGAGGCTAAAGCAAATGAAATGATAAAGTTTGCTGTGGCAAATTGTACCGGATTTCTCGAAATGTTCACCGCCGCCCTTTTCTCTTAATTGACACATTTGTGTTGGCGCGAGAACGATGATGATGGCGGCAAAAGTGATAAAAATGGTATTCGAGGGGGAATGCGAAAGAGAAAAGACATTTCTCATTTTGATTATGGACATAAAAACGGAACCAGATAGAAAAGTCGTACAATTTTTTGAATTCGTTGACGGTTTCTCGATTTTTTAATGAAACAACTCACAGACTCAGAAAAACAATGGGTGGGCGAAGTGAAGTGAAAACGACGTTAACATTACAACTGAACAATGAGTCATGCAAAGTTTGATTAGAAAAATGTAATGCAATCTGAACGTTACGTTGCTTTGAAAGAAAATGAAACAATATCAATCTGAAATGTTCCTCCTACAGAATGAGACGTAGTGGGGTCGGGGGGGACGGAAAGTGCGATTATGTACTTACTTTGAAGACTGTTTTCTTTTTCTTCCTCTCTCTTCCCCACGTTTTCGTTTACGTCATAAGCTTCGAAGGTGTGAAATGAGACAAGAACGAGTTATTCGGCCTTTAGTTAGCAGTGGACGAAAAGAGGAGTCGTTTCAATTTGTGTTTGCAAGCATAATCGGCATGGTTTCGAATAACAAACACACGGGATGAGGAAACAAGATCTATGTGTCAACATGGGGCATCGGGCCGTCTTAAAATTCGTCCAAAACTTTTTGTGTATGAAATTTGAGCGGAAATGCAGGTTTTAATAATAGCTTTGCACTAAAGTGCAAGTCCAAATCCGAATTCAAAAGGTCACACGATATCAGTCGGACACAATTTCAACTTTATAAAAGAACTATAGCTAGAAACGTGTCAAAAATAAGAGAGTCGGTTGTTTTCAAAGACGGCATCATCGTTAATTAATCAGGAACACGATATTGTTGTGATAATTCTCCCTCGCTGCCCAGCCCAAACAGCTTTCGAGTCTGGTTTTTGTACCCATTACAATATCATATCATTTATTCATCGTTTTCGTTTTTTAGAGTGTCTGACTGACCATTAATGGCCAAATATAATTATTTCCATCAAATTCATTTGGAATCATAACACATTCATTGACTACGTATTTATCAAGTTCATAGAACCTACTGTTCCGTACAAATAATGACCCGTTTTAAGAGTAATTAAGACTTTTTTGTTCGGTTTTTGTTATATTTACACATTATCACATTGTTCGGCCGGATCCCGTGTCTGATTGTTGCAATGTCTTGGAACCAGATAACCGTAATTCTCCGTCGCGTTTTCCAACATTTGTGCGAAGACTGTGCACGTTTGGTTGAATGTCGGACGGTCATCGGCTAGCATTTCCCAGCACAATTTCATCACCTCGTATCTGAAACACGAATGACGTCACGATACCGATGGTTTATGGTAATTTGGTGGAAAAACATTGTTCCGACCGGAATTTATTGCGTCACAAATTCACAACTTGATTCATATTTGAACTCAGTTTCGTCAGACGTCATTTGTACTTTGGCTAATTGCAGGATTGGGGAAAAGACCAACCCGGACTTTGGACAATGATTTGATTAAGTACAAAATGTTGCAGGTTTCTCGGACTTGGATTGAAATATTTTGGGTCCAAGTTTCAGACCGATAGGATTATCTGATCTGGATCTCCGAACCGGTTAATCCGATCGGTCTGAAACTTGGACCCAACAGATCTCAATCCAATTCCAAGAATCCTTCAAAGTTTGGGTCCGATTGGAATATTGCAACTGGGCCAAAAGCCTGAACCGGGATTTTACCAAGCCCTGGCTGATCTCAAAACTTACATCTCATCCGGACACCATTCGGGTTGAAGTAAACGCTTTCCGGATCTATGCGTTTGTAAAAGTTCAGTTGTCTGCACCTCCGCGTACGGAACCTCGCCAAGTGAGAACAGCTCCCAGAGAAGAACACCGTAGGACCAACTGAACAATTATTTTTGTTTTCTAAATTTTCTTGTGTACTTACACATCACTTTTGAAGGAATACTCATAAGAAGAGAGTGATTCCGGAGCCATCCATTTTAGAGGGAGTCTTCCGCCTCTAGCTGTATAAAGCAACGAATCCGTGAGTCGGCACAGCCCGAAATCTCCAATTTTACAGGTGTTTGATGAATCAACCAGCACATTTCTGGCGGCAATATCACGATGAATGCAGCCAATGTTGTTGAGATACTCCTAAAGTTCAGGTGTATGGTAGACATAGAACGTTTTCAAAAACTCACTAATCCATTGCTAATCTGCCATGAAAACATCAATAGATCTTTGATTTTCAAATTGTCTGGGTTCACAGTCGGTCCCTTAAAGTGCAACTGTGAGAAGAGAAATTGGGTAGAAATATGTGCTATACCTCAATGATTTCCGAACGTCGATTCCGAATCATATGCAAGAGATCACCGTGTTCACAGAACTCCACCAAAAGGTACGGCGATTTGCGGTCGGCCACAAATCCCAGCATGGAAACCAGATGCGGATGGTAGGCGAGCGACTTCATAAAGTTTATTTCCTAGAAAATGAACAGGTTGGTGTGAAACACTTATAAAGATCACTGTCACTGAACCGACCTGCATGAAATCCGATCTGGCGGCGTCGTCGGCAAAACTTGGAAGCATTTTCACGGCTACGGTACAATCGCGAAGCAGCTGAGTACGTTGACCGGGGTGAATTTGAGCAACTGGTGCTTCTCCGTTGATTTTTCCTTTGAAAACGTTACAGAATGCTCCGCTGCCAAGTTTTTTCGAGTAGTTGATCTCCAAATTATTTCTGTCCAGTATCCACGGGTCATGCCTGAAAATGTGACCAGTTTTTGAAACATTTTTGTGACCGAATATGTGCGAGTAGTCAACCGTAACTGGTCATTCTCTGTGCAATCGTCCGTAACGTAACCCAGGTAAACTATGAGTCAGCGCTACGTGATTTAACGTACGTTTTTCTGTAGATAATGAACTTACAAGGAATAAGCGGGGCTGTCGAGTTGAGTTTCATAATCATTCACTTTTTTCGGAAACGGCAACGGAAACGGATTGCGGTTCTGTTGTCGCCGCTTTCGGCACCAGAAAAAGATGAAAACCGCCAATCCAGTGGCTATGATTCCGAGCGGAATTCCTAGTCCAAGACCGAGAGCCACTGCGTTGACTCCTCCGTCTTTGGGGTACTTGTGGTCTCCACCGTAGTAAGGATCGTAGTACTGGGGTGTAGTTGGCTGTAAAAACATTTGGTATGAATGGTCAACAAAGTCACGATCCTATGGTATTTTCAAGGTGTGACCATGGTCATGAACATCAGAGGAAGAAAAAATACTTGTGCAAACAGCTCTTCTTCACGAATCATTTTAAATATAGTTTTTCTATGTACTCTGCTTTGTATGTAAAGAGAGACCTACCCTCCAATTCCATGTTGGGTTATAGTTATAGTTATTATCCGTAGAATCCGGATCAGGAGACATGCTTTAAAAGTTACGGTAGCACAAACGTTTTTTTTTATGAGAGTAGGAGGATAATAGTGGAGGAAGAACGCTCACGATGATTCAGTGTTACCCCTCAGGTCTTGTCCCCGCCATCCAATGATGATTATTTGTTCAATTCTCGTAAGTTCTAATGCCGAATGTCAACGCGCCCCACGGTCCTAGGTCTCATCGCGTTGCGCGCAGCGGGCACAAAGAAATTAAACAATCGGGCAGAGAGGGAGAAGTAAAGACAAAGTTTGAGGTTTCAAAATGTTTCGGCTTGGCGGTAGGCACAAGCAAATATGATGCGTGTTGGGAGTTTGCCAAAAGTTTGATGACTCGTACTCACCGGATTCGGCGGTGGCGGGAGAGGTGGAGGGTCATGTGGATGATGCGGTGAATCAAAGGGATGAAGGAGCTTGAAAAGAAAGTACTAGAAGGAGAGTAGTATCGTTCTCGAATCGGGCACGTTTCCATTCACACAGCCATGCAGAAAAGAACAAAAAGGGGTAGACGGGTGGAAGGTACAAGTGTTTGCATTCACATTCATTGATTTTCCCAGTAAGTACATATTTCCCAAGACATACATGTTCAACAGAAGGAAGCGTGGGCGACGGAGATCCGCTATTCCACTGATTCTGCTGATATGGCTGATAGTCCCACGTTCCTTGAGGATATTGATTTTGATTTTGATTTTGAACATACTGCTGTCTTGGTGAATTTGTCGGGCTTGAATTCAGATTCGCATTCGAATTGACATTAGGATTCGGATTTGGATTCGCACTTGGACTTGCAGAATCATCATTTCCATTCAAAATGTTGATCGTACTCCTGACGTTGTTCAGCGCTTGTTGTGACAAATTAGCAATCTGAAAATACCCACCATCACCCCCAGAAGCCTTTCACATTCCATCCACTAAAAAATCAAGAAAAAAAGGTTTTCTGTCAAGTGTTTCGTTGCTCGTCGAAAATAAACGACAGAGCACAAAAAGAACAAAAACCATGCGGCAGAGACAAGATCAGGTGAAAAGATACATCACTTACAGTTTCCAAATACCTGGTGTCCGACGGGCTCAGCACAAAATTATCATTATTGCTTCCCGCTCTATTAGTAGTTCGGTAATCGGTCTGGGTGCCAGCGTCCATCGTCGATAGATCATGTGGATTCGGGCTCCAGGAGACTTTCTATAAGAAGTGAAGACATTTTCGAGTGCTTTTGATGACGATCTTCAGTTTTTGGCCAGCAGACAATGGAAAAACAGCGCAGCGTAGGGGAAAACACGTCACATGGGGGAAAGCAGGAACTCACTTCTCTATAGAACGACGAATCTTCTTGAGAGTCGTCGGCGGCTGGTGTCGGAAAAGCCAATGTGGATACAGCGAGAGCGGCTGAGGAGGCGAGATATGTTAAACATTGATGTGTCATCCGCCTTGCTCCTCCCTGCTTACTTTTCTGAATTATTCAGAAATAGATGAGATATCGAGTGGGAAGAAAGAGAGGCAAAATGATTAAAAGAGTAGGATTTTTGAATAAACTGAAAAAGAGGATGTAAATCTGTTTGGGTCAGGACTGGTTGACTTCTGAAAGCTTGTCTGGGACTGGATTTTTTTGAAGCTTTGTGGGACTTAGATTGTATCTTGGGATCATATGATCCGGAGATATACTGGTTCTAATCCGAATAGGTCTCGTTATTGCGATAAACCCGACCTTTTCGGCCATAAATCACTATATCTCGGGACCAGATGGTGGGGAGGGTGTTTCTTAAACTTGAACTCAACATACACACATGGGGGAGGGGTCTGAAACTTGGACTCAACATACACACGTACTTCAAGCCTAGTACAACAAGCTTGCGAAGTTTGGCTTGAATAGAAATATTGAAAGTGGTCCAAAAGTGGAGGTCCGGGCCGACCGTTTGATTAGCTCTGGTCTGAATGAAATTGACCAAGAATCAGTCTCAAAAAAGGCATGGGCACATGGAAATTTCATTTCCAACTGACATATGCGCACACGTGTGAAATTAAAAAATGAAAGCTGTCAAATCTTCGAGTTTCCAGTTTCCACGCAGCTACATATTTGCGAAATTGACAACAGCGGAAAACACGTATTACGGTAAAGATTTCACTGACAAAAAGCGATTGGCGAAAAAAGTTTGAAAACAATTCGACACGGCTGGATGGATAATCTGGTCGGGGCGTACATCATGATCATCATGGCGACAGCACAGCACAAATGGAGAACAAAATTTCTGTTTCTCTGTGTGAGTGAACAACGTTTTTCTGTCCGCCGTTTACTCAAAACGGCCATTTTTTGATAGAGGTGTTATGCAAAGTTTGTTGGCAGTTGAACCGAAGCACTCCGTACATACAAAGACGTTTTGTTTTCAGTCCGACTGATAAGATAAGAGGAGTGCAGTGACTGGGGAGCCGGCAAAATGCGGATGTATCGAATTACGTGCAAAACAACGGAGAACAACGGAAAAACGAGCCAGACCAGAAATGGGAAGAGAACGGACAATAAAAAAATGAGTCTTGCGGGTGGTGGTGGTGGCTTCGGAGGGCAGTCAGTGCGGGGAGAGTTAAGACTGTTTGCTCCTCAAACTTGCCGTCTTTTCCCTCTTTTTTGCCTTTACCTTTCAAATTTAATAGCGCAAGTTATATATCGGAGAGACTGTTCGCTGACTGAACTCTTCTGATGACAACATCAGGGTCAGATGTGCAATGGCCAACTTTGGTATATAATGGCGGAAATGTATCAAGTCGTGTTTGTACACCTGTTTGTATATACCAGTGCAAAGAAAAATGAAAAAATGAAAGAAAAAAGCCTAAAACACATACGTTTTTTGTTAACGGGTCCTTTATTTTGGATGAACATTCGCATTTGATTCACATAAAATCAAAGATTATGCCAAAATTTGGCAATTACAGGAGGTCTTCCTGCTTCCTGTATTTTAGTTTCTCATTTTAAATTTCTCATTTTCACATCTCAAAGAGGTTAAGGAATGGGGATTATAGATTAATAAGAGGAAATAAATAAAAGGTCAAAGGGTGCCAGCCAGAGTTTAGTTTAACGGTTGCGGATAAATACAAACGAATCGGGAAGATTGGAAAGATAAATATTAGATAGACAAACTCAGAAAAATCATTATTTCAAACGGAATGAACTTCTCAGACAACTTGCTCGTATGGCGGTGGTGGACGGATGTTTTTACGGTCGATGAGGAGTGGCGACCATTCGGGAAGACGGCCTCTGAATTGTCACAACTATTTGCTTGGTTCGAGTAGAGTAGTACTACGTGTTTACATACATTTTCTTGTGATTTTATTGTAGAGTTCCAGAAATAACCATATCTTAAGCGTTTGTGCTACCTATAGTTGGCCTACAACATGCTTGGGGCGAACACCTCTGTCCCAAACTTACTGTTGAGCGTACTGCTCCAGCAGCCGAGTCTTCCGGACCGACACCACGTGGCAGTAGACCACTGCCGCGAACATCACCATTATCATGACCGCAGTGACGTATGCGTAACCTGTAATAACACTGTTGTTTCGGGAAACGTCTTCTGGAAATCTTTGTTTTGTGTTCCGAAAATCGTAAAATCGTTTCAAAGAAATTGCTCGCCAATGAAAACATGGAAAGGTTGTGATATTGAGATTTGAGATTGACATTTGGGTTTCATTGCCGATATTTCATTTAGATTTTATGTGATGGATGTATTATACAGGAAATGTCACGGAGCAGTACTATTGTCTAGAGATTTTTGTTCCATTATTCCAGACTAATGAAAAATCCAAAAAAAAAACACATACGTCTCAAGGGATCGTACATTTGCTATTGCTTCCGATTCTGATTAAGTATTTGCATAATTTCCCTGTCTAAAGTCCCTTGACAGTTCATGAGCAGAATTATTTTCCCTAGGTAATGGTTTTGTGCTGTAAACGGTTTGAATACAGATTTGTGGCGCAAGCAGGCGTATAAATTGCATGTTCGAATTATTTCAGACAAAAGCAAAAAATAGTACTCCATTTTCAAAGGCCCTAATTTCATAATCAGGTCTCGGGGACTAAACTATTGTTAACCTAGCTTCAATTATTTGATCGAATCTCAATTAACAAAGGTCTGGTCAAAATATTGGCTCAATAGGATCAATCCCTAAAGTTTTTTTAAAAATTTCTATAAATTCTCCCAACTCACCCCGCTGACTAAGCAGCGCGTCAAACTCCTGGAACGGATGGTCCGGGAGGTCATCGTCTTCGGTGCTCTCGACGCTCGCGTTATCCTGTTTCTGGTCCGGTTGCGTTGGGAGAAGTTCGGCCAGACCGATAGCCAGTATGGCCATAAGAAGCAAGATCGCACGCATGCTCTCTGTCAAAGAGCACAAATGTGGAGGAAGTAGGAGAAGAAGAAGAAGAAAAAGAGAGGAAAATCGGGAAAAACTGGAAAATTGGAAACGAAAGGAAGCGAAGGGTCGGACAAAGATTCGAGCAGACATGGCTACCATCGGAGCTTTGGCTCCACACCCCGCCTTCCTGCTCCTCCGAAAAATAATGATATTCTCTGAGGAACGAGGTAAACGAACGAATAAAACAAATGCCATCTGACAGAACGGAATGGATTCAGGAAATGGGAAAATACACATCCTGACCGACATGTAATTGAAAAATATCTACATGGTAGAGTAAAAGTAGAGTGTATCGTCGAAAATGTTAGGTGAACCGATGAAAAGAAGAGAAATTGAAGGAGTTGATGATAACCATGCGAGTGGAAAGGAAAGGAGCACGAGAGTTAGTTTCTTCTCTCTCTCTTTCTCTCCCCTTATCAAAAGATGACTGATAATGAGAAGAGTGGAGTTGGAGAATGGAGAAGACGTTGTTTTCCACTGTTCGATAAAAGGCCAAAGAGCAACATATGAATTGACACGTAATTGGACATATGAATCAAAGTATGGGGAATGATGGAAAAGTCAGGTGCATGTATGTATGTATATGTGCATTGGTGTTTTTCTTGATAATTCAATTCTGTTTCCTCTAACGACCGAAAATTTTCAGTACTTTCGGAGCCATGGGACCATGAAATGAGCTTTTGCGTGAGCTCGGTTACGTTTCAATGACCTTTTCAAACGTTCCGCATTTCGAGAACCTGTGACGTCTCAAATTTTCTGAAAATTCGATTCACCTCCAGATCGTTTAGAGAAATTGAACAATTCAGATAGAATTCACAAAAACTGGTTTAGATTTATGTAGATGTTTCAATGTGAAAGGAATGGGAGAATGAACTTTGATTCCATTATTTTCAGGCGCAATTTCAGACACTTTTTCGTTTGGAATGGCAATTATCCACCTGCCTCCATCTCGATTTTGAATGCGCATTCAGTGAAATTGGTGGTTTTTCGATGGATTGGAGGACGAATGGAATTTTCCAGAGAAAAGAAGAAAGATGGAAACGATTGGGTATAAAATACTTGGTTCAGGTATACTGTAGTGCTTTCTGAGATTGTACTTTGAATGAATTTGACCCGAATAGCATGAGTACTGGTGTGAGCCAGCTACGAATGCACATATCTTCAACTCCTGGCACTAATTCGACAACATCTGTTCCTGTGAGTGAACTGAACTGTGTACAACTGGCAAAATTTCGTTACACGCCACTTTTCGATCTGTTTCTCCCAGTTTTTCAATAGGCAACTCAAGAGCGTACTGTACATATTTACGAGATTTCAGCTAAAGTTTCTTCTATAATTTTTTCTGTAATTTATTGGCTCGAATTGATGCAAGTAGTTACAAACTCTTTAAAAGTGGTCGAGTGATAAATCGCAACCCTGACCTTTATTTCTAGCAACATGGCAGCAAAACACACGTCCAAGGTGAAGCTTCAGGGGCCGCGGGGTCGGTCCAGAATCTTGTAAGCTTGCTGGAAAATTTATCTGATTAGATAAACACGATCTTTTTGCTCGTTTTTGACTCATAGATGTCCTGTGATGTGAGCACTCCGGTACTGTGCATCGGCTTGATGATTCTTTCTATAAAAGTTATGGATATTAGTGTTGCACTAGTCCGCGCCACGTACCATTAAGTTCTGTTGAAATCACTTGCTCCTGTCCCCCTTCAACTTATTAGTATCAAATTTTTAGAGCTTTTTAGTTGCACTTCCCACTTCCCACTTACCTTTCATTTCTCTTTCTCTATCTAATGTCCGAGGCACCGCTAATTTGACCAAAATCCGCGCGCTCTGTGACTTCTTCCGTTTTTCTGAACACCACATCCTCGCACTTACTGAAACTTTCCTCGACGATACTGTTCCTTCAACTCTATTCTCTCTCCACCAAATCTCCATCCTCCGTTGTGACCGATACCAAACCGCCAACTCTAAAGCTCGTGGCGGGGGCGTCGCTCTTCTCTACAAGCATCCTATCTCTCTTAGTAAACTCTCCATCAATTTCGAGTCCTTTTTACTCCTCCCACCGCTCCGAAATCCTTGCCTGCTCTCTCCACTCTCCGCATCTCAACTCCCCCATTCACCTTACTCTTGTCTATCGTCCACCGGACACCTCTTCAATCAGAAACCTCCGCCTTGATCTCCCATCTTTCCGCCTTTCTCCCTCTCTCCTCCTCTATAGTTCTAGGGGATTTTAACTTCCCCCTCCTTAACTCTTCTCACCAATTCTCCCAATTCCTCATCACTCGCAACGCCTCTCAACTCGTCTCCTTTTCCCACCCGCACCTCCCCCAACCTCCTCGACCACTCTTGATTTAGTCATCGCCTCTCATGATCTTCCCCTCTATGATCTTCGTCCCTTCCCCCGCTCCTTAACTCTGACCATCTCTGTGTAAATTTCTCCATTCTGGCCTCCAAATCCCCCCTCACCGCCCTGTCACTCCCGCCCTCCATCTCTCCGACCCAACTCAATTACCGTAAGACGGACTTCAAATCTCTCAATCACCGTCTCGCGACCATTGACTGGGCCGCCCTCCTTCCTGACTCTCTCTCGGCCTCTGCCTTATATGACAAATTTCTCCAAATTCTTAACGACCTGATCCGTCTCCACACTCCCCCTAACCCCCTAAAAGACTCTCGGTCCCAAATCCTATCCGTAGACTCCGCCGATTACGTGCCACTCTTTCTAGGCTTCTTACATTAACCCCCTCCCGCACCGCTTCTCTCGCCCGACTTCTTAGCAAGCAACGCTTACTTATTAAGCACACCCGACGCCGCGCCGCTGCTCAGGATAAAGCTCTACTCTCCGATCACAATTCTTCCTCGGCCAGGCTCCTCATTCGGAAACGCCTTAAACACCACCATACCATACCCCCTCTCTCAATCAACGGTTCTATTGTCCACGAAGACGCTAAGATCGCCTCCTCATTCGCCGAAATCTTTGCCCGCAACTTCTCCTCGCCTTCCCATTTGCCTAAACTTTCTCCCCACACCCTCCCTCTCCTTCCAACTCTTTCCCACCCCCTATTACTGCCCAGGATCTCTTCCCCCCCTACATTATCGAACTCACTCTACAAAAACTTCCGCCCAGGTGCGGATACTCCCCCCACCTTGCCAACTATCTAATTTTAAAACGCTGCTCCACCTCACTAGCTCTTCCCCTCTCTCTCATCTTCTCTAAATCATTCTCTTCCTCCTCTCTTCCCTTATGTTGGAAACATTCGGTTGTCATTCCTGTCCCAAAAAAAGGTAACCTCTCTGACCCCTCCAATTACCGCCCAATCTCTTTAACTGACCCTATCTCCCGTGTTATGGAACGCATCATCTGTCGTCGCCTTCTTTCTGACCACTCCTCCAAATTCCATCCTAATCAGCACGGCTTCCTCCCCTCTCGGTCTTGCACTTCCTCGCTTCTTGACTCCATCTCTACCTACAGACATTTACTTTCCTCTCATAAAACTTTGGACATCATTTACTTTGATTTCCAAAAAGCTTTTGACAAAGTTGACCACAATCTCCTCCTTCGTAAACTGGACATCTTTGGAATTCCTCCCCTTTTCTGCAGATGGTTTGAAGACTTCCTCTCCCATCGATCCTTCTCCATCAAAATCAACTCCCATGTCCAGCCCTCTAGAACCCCAATACCTTCGGGAGTTCCACAAGGCTCCGTCTCTGGCCCCTTTCTCTTTCTTATATTCCTCAACGACTTACTCGACAGCCTTCCTCCCTCTGTTCACTTCGCCGTTTTTGCTGATGACCTAAAAATTTACCACCCTGCCCCTCTCCTCCTACAATCTGCCATTGACTCCGTGCTTTCCTGGTCCACCCTCAATCTCCTCCCTCTCGCCGAAACTAAAACCTCTCTTCTGAGGCTTGGTTCCCGCAATCCCGAGTTTCCCTACACAATTAACAACACCTTTATCTCCTCATCCGCCTCTGTCCGTGACCTTGGGCTTCTCACGGACCCCTCTCTCAAATTCGAGCTTCACATAAATCAGAAAGTTGCCCTCTGTCTCCTCCGTTCCCACCAGCTCCTCAAATCCTTTTCGCTCAACTAATCCATCTTTCTACGCCTCCCTATTTAAAACCTACATTCTCCCGATTCTTGAGTACTGCTCCCCAATCTTCTCCCCTCCTCCTGCATCCAAACTCGCCTTAAAACTTGAACGTCCTCTCCGACACTTCTCGAAAATTGCTCTCCAACGCTGTAACATCCCGTTCTCCTCTTACCACCACCGTCTTGCCATACTTAACATGTCTTCAATCCGTCACCGCCGCCTCAAATCACAGTTAACTCTCCTCTATCGTCTAATTACCGGTGCCTCATACTTCCCCCATCTAAGTCATTTTATCTCACTTACCACCTCTCCCCGTAGACCCATGCTCATCCGCGTCCTAAAACCTCGTATAAAAGACTTCTTCTCACTCACCGTTCCCATATGGAACTCTATTCTCTCTAACACCTCCACCTTCCTCTCCCCTCTCCAGTTCGAACTAACTATAGACTCCTCCATTACCCGTTTCTAACTCTCTCTCCTTCTTGCCCTACTCCCCTTCTACCATATAACCCCTCCTTATCTCCCCTAATCCCTAGGTACGTCTCGTGAGGGACTGTCCTTTCCACCATTCGTCCTCCCCTCTCACGTGTTGTATCTTTCTTTCTCTTACATTGATAAATAAACGAATGAAACCAAAAAAAGAGCCACGCACAGACACCATCTGGTGACCACTTGTCCTCTGTTTATCCAGGCCCCGCTCATTGGACTCTCCTCTCATTTATCATTTCACTCAATCTGTTTTCGGACCGCTCGATTATAGAGCGGCAAGGTCCCCAATTCGGAGAGCGGGAGAGAGAGTATAACCTTGATCCGTGCCGACCGCCTTAACGGCCACTCACTCACTTCATCTCTTTCTCTCTTTTTCTCCCCGCTAACAATGTGCTGCTTTTTTCGTGTGCTCCGCACTCCCCACTAAATATGCACAAATATGGAGCAGAAAAGCCAGGTGTCAATGTTTGCCTCGGTTCTGATGACCAGGACCAGTGCGTCGGACAGAAAACGAAGGGTGAACCCCGCCGCCCCCCGAAAAACCAGAAAGAAACGAAACAAATCCTCTTTTCCTCTCTCTCTCTCTCTCTCTTTATTCGGGAAAAGAACCTTGTCGAAAAGGCAATGGAAATGACTTCAACTTCGACTTCACAATCCGAATCGAATCGTTGCATTGTCACTAGCAATTTGGAGGGGATTGTGGAGTGGAGAGGGTTCTAACCTTGAGGCCCTTCTCCTCTGGTGGCCCTTCTCCTGTGTGTCCTCCCACACACACACACACACACATACCATATAATATAACCGTCATTGTTGTCCTCTCTCTTCCCTTCTCTCTCTCTCTCTCTCTCTTCCCCTTGCAGCATCCAATTCCCTTCGACCCTCCGTGATCATTGTTGTGGACCAGACCAGACATTGTCTTTCTTTGAGGCTAGCAGGGTCTCTAATAATAATGAACACAACAATTGGAGGTGTGCGGTACGCTACGCCCCCGTTGTGTTCAAGTACTGTAAACTGAACTTTGAATCGGAAGTTTTTCCCGCCGCCGGTTTTTGTATATAAAAAAGTGGAGCGGGAAGCGATTCTTTGCAAGTTTCACTCTACTTTTTCGTATTTTTCCATCACTTTCTTTCAGCAAAAAATTGATTGCGAAATCCCAAAAAAATTTCGAAATTTCGGTAGCATCCCCCTTTTGCTTCATAAACCGCTCAGCTGTTCCCTGGTCACCTAACGGAGCTTTTTGCTTTACACCACCTCCCACTTTCTCTTTTTCTTCATCTTCCAAAAAAGACCAAGTGCAAATATTTTGTCTTCCTCACCATTTTTTGGCTGCGCAACTGTACGAAAAAAGAAGCGCAGACGCCCCGATCATATTGTTTTCCGGGCCTACACCCACTTCAATTTTGCTTACGCACCTCAGGATACGTATATAAGGATTGAGGTGGTTTAAGCTTAAGCCCCAAAGCTCTATAGGGAAAGGGCAGCCAATTATAATCATGCAGGACCTAGACCACCTTTCTATTCTATGTATTCCACACCTGTCCAGGTTCCTGGCCAAGCACCTATTCCGGTGGTGGGGTGTCGAAACCAGATCCACCATCATCTAAAAAAAACTGTACATAATTGCCATTGCAAAGTTCCATTCCTTCCTTTTCCTTTCTTTTTTTCGGTTCTACTCCTCTTTCGTCAAGTGTACGCATGTGTTCCACCTCAACAACACAGCCAAAACCACAGAAGAATCGAATTGAAGTAGGTCATTTGGATGGAAATGCGTGTGTAGCGAGATTTTTCTGAATTTTCTCATAACCACGTGTGAACTGTGCAAACCGGCAGGTTCCCAAACGGAAAAGAAATGGGAACGAGTTTGTTGACATTGCCTTCACAAGACCATCACTTCATATTGATTCAGTTCGGTAGTTTTCCACAGAACACGATTTCTGAATATTGTACTTTAGAAATGTTTATACATAATCATCCGCAAATTTCAATTCAATCTCCTAACTTTCCTTTTCGAATAAACAAATCTCTTCCCCTCCCCCGCAGTTTAGTCTTCTCCCTAAATCCTGTCCTTTGCGTTTTGCGTTCCAAAATGGAAAGATGAGTCAGACCCAGACGGCGGTGTATTAGTCACTAGTCAGACCGGAGAGAAATGTTATTATTGTGCCCCCCCCCCCTGTCTCTCTCTCTTTTCCTCACTTTCCTGACCGCCCCCACTTACATGGACAGTCAGTCACTCAGACAAGACACAAACAATCTCGGGTCGTAACCAGAGATAATACCCTCTCTCCCATTCACTTTTTTCCTTATTTTTTCCTGTAATTTTCGACTTTTACATCTAGCCGCCGCTCTTTTCCTATTATTTTTTGCCTTTCAGAACTATCAACTCTCACTTCAACAATGGCCGCTGTCACCGAACTGCCGAAGATGAACGAGGAGCTCGCTGGAGCCGTCCGTGAGGGTCTGGAGCTCAAAAAAGTGGAGACCACCGAGAAGAACATCTTGCCGACTAAAGAAGGTTAGTATTTTGCGCGAAAGCAAGCTAATGTTGGCCAACAGCTGGGCAAATATTGTTCGCAAATAGCGCCACGGCGCGAGGTTTCACAGGTGATAAGAGCAGCCATCTGACCTTTCTTCCGTTTATAGATGTCGAGGTCGAGAAGCAATTGGTGGAGAGAATCCACGAGATCGAGCACTTCGACTCGTCCAAACTCAAGTCGACTCCAGTGAAGGAGAAGATGGTGCTCCCATCGACCGAGGACATTAAGCAGGAGAAGCAGCACCTGGAGCTCACCGACAAGATCCTCAACTTCCCGTCGGAGATTCTCAAGAAAACCGAGACCGCCGAGAAGGTACTGGATTTCTGATTTTGGTAGTCCTGAACTCCTTTTTTCTTCCAGAACGTTCTCCCATCACCGACGGACATTGCTCGCGAGAAGACGCTCCAAATGGCCGCCTCGTTCGACAAAAGCGCTCTCAATCATGTCGAGACCGTTGTCTCCAACGACGTCCGTGTCACCGACGCCCAATAAGGTCCTCCTTCTTCATTTTTTTTCCCTATAATGCATTTCTAATCGCTTTCATCATCTGTTATACTAGGTCATGTCGGAATCCAAAAATGAAGCGGAGATGAGATGTTGATCATTTTCAGGAAACCCTCCGCGTCTTCGTTTCGTTCACTCCATTTGGTACACCTTCCTCTTCTGACAACTTGAATCAAATTTCATGCTTTTTTTGTGGTTCTTAAACATTAACTCTACTTTTTGACTCTTCATCTTGGTGTATCGATGATTGCATTCTATCCTATTCATTCCATATTTATTCCCCTTCCGAATAAACTGTTTACCTGCAAATATTCTTTCAAAAATCGAGCTGAAAAGTGTATATACACGCAAGAATAAACACTACACTATTGAAGGGAGGCCGTAAACCCACACCAATAACCCTTTTCGCTGCGAGACCCGCCGGCGAGAGAGCGCGGCGACAAGAGAGAGTGCGCAGACAACGCGTTGCCCCGTCAGTTTTGCGTGGCATTTCGATTTGTGCTAAGTCGGTCATTTCGCCCCGTTCCGACGCGTTTCTCGTGCTATTCTCGCTTATTTTCATTGGTTTTTAAACCTTTTTTCCTTCAGGTAATGTCCAAAGCGACCAGAATGCTTGCCAACATTCTGTTTATTGGATTTCTGGCCAGCGTCACCGGATTCTACCTTCCCGGTTTGGCTCCGGTCAATTTTTGCGAGCTCGAGAAACCAAATTGTCCAGTGAGTTGTTTACTTTTGTATGCGGAAGCCGAACATTACTGATATTGATTATTGCAGAGCAATGTGTCACTCTACGTGAATCATCTTGATAGCGACCGCTCTGTCATACCGTACGAGTATCACAGGTACAATTTTTAAGGAAAAAACAGTACATAGAAGGAAGTGAATATTTTCAGTTTCGACTTCTGTACGGTCAATGAGGACGAGTCACCGGTCGAGAATTTGGGACAAGTTTTATTCGGTGAACGAATTCGGCCAAGTCCTTACAAAGTAAATCACATGACACCAAAGCCCATACGGACTATGAACATCCGATGCTTTAGGTCAAATTCCTGCAAGAAGAAAAGTGCCGTTTGGTGTGCGACACCAAAAAGTATGCGCGCGGAAACGCCGACGATCTGACCAAGCTCCGACTCCTCCAGAGGGCCATGACACTCAACTACCAGCACCATTGGATTGTGGATAACATGCCGGTCACATTCTGTTTCAAAAACCTGCAGAATATGGATGTGTGCACCACCGGATTCCCAGTCGGATGCTTCGTTGATGAGCAGGGATATCAGCATGATGCGTGTGTGCTCAATGTGAGTTGTTGTCCCTAAAAAATGTGGAAAAATGTCTGTGCACTGCGGGAACTCGGTACTGGGAGGTCCGTAAATGTGACCCTAGGGAAACAAAGGGATGGGCTATGTTTTTCCCCCGTTTGCACCAAAAAACGTGGAGGAGCTATGATGTGTTTTAGCGTTTTCTGACTACCGCGGGATGTAATGAAGCCTTAGAACTACGATTCTAATCATTCCAACCGTATTTTGTAGTTGGTATAGTCAGAGCCATTGACGTCCGCTGGCTCACGTTTGGGCCCAGTCACAATAAGAAAAAGATTAGCAAATTCTAAACGAATAAATTGTTCAGCAAAAGTACAGAAGTCCGAACAACTACTACATCTTCAATCACGTGGACATTGAGATCTTCTACAGAGATATGAGCAATGACGCCAACTTTTTGGAGCACAAGGTACATCACATACATAGATTTGGTCGAACCCAATCATATTTAGGTCGGAGGAAGAATCATTCGAATTGACGTGAAACCGCGTTCCATCAAGCACCGCTCCTCGTCCAACCTGGATTGCAGCGAGTCCGCCGAGCCAATCGCTATTGATGCCAAATCGGAAAGCGCTGAAATCACCTACTCCTACAGCATCAAGTGGACGAAGACGGACATTAAGTGGTCCTCCCGTTGGGATTACATCCTTCAGTCGATGCCGCACACCAACATCCAGTGGTTCTCCATCATGAACTCACTCGTTATTGTGCTCTTCTTGACTGGAATGGTTGGAATGATCATTATGCGCACACTGCACAGAGATATCGATCGATACAATCGACTGGATACTGAAGAGGATGCGCAGGAAGAGTTCGGATGGAAGTTGGTGCACGGAGACGTGTTCCGCACTCCACGCTACCCTATGCTTCTATCTGTGTTCATCGGAGCTGGATGCCAGACGTTGCTCATGGTTTCTGTCACTTTAGGTACGTGAAAAACAGTAAAGATAATCTAAATACCACCTTTTTCAGTGTTTGCCTGTCTCGGATTCCTTTCCCCAGCCAACCGCGGATCCCTCATCACGTTCGCCCTCTTCTTCTACGTCTTGTTCGGAGTTGTCGCTGGATACATCTCGGCTCGTCTCTACAAAACTTTCGAAGGCATCCACTGGAAAACCAACCTTGTCATGACCGCCTTCCTGGTGCCCGGAATCCTCTTCGCCATCTTCTTCTTCTCCAACACACTCCTCTGGACAAAGGGATCGTCGGCGGCGGTTCCATTCGGAACTCTGGTTGTCCTTCTGATCCTTTGGCTTTTCATCTCTGTCCCAATGACCTTTGTGGGAGCGTATTTTGGATTCAAGAAGCGTGGAATTGAGGCTCCAGTGAGAACGAACAAAATTCCACGTCAAGTTCCAGAACAAACGTTCTACACGAAGCCACTTCCAGGAATGCTTATGGGAGGAATTCTGCCGTTTGGATGCATTTTTATACAACTCTTCTTCATTCTCAATTCTATCTGGTTAGTTTTTAGCGTGCCTCAATAGAAGTAACGTGTATTCTTTCAGGGCTCATCAAACCTACTACATGTTCGGTTTCCTCTTCCTCGTTTACCTGATCCTCATCATCACTTGCTCTGAAGCCACCATACTTCTTGCCTACTTCCATCTATGCGCGGAGGATTATCATTGGTGGTGGCGATCGTTCCTGACGAGTGGGTTCACGGCCGTTTACCTCTTTTTCTACTGCGTCCACTTCTTCAACACGAAGCTGACCATCAGTGGAACGGTGAGTATTCAGAAGACTTGGAAAGAGCAGGGCCGGGCCAAAACGTGAAGTTCTCCGAGCCGGCAGGCGCTAACTTTGCTGTTATCATCAATTTTCATTAACAACGCTCTCTAGCTTAGTCAGCGCTCGGAATGTGAGAATGCGAAACTGGCACTCTCTCGTGTACGTCCGTACAATCGTAATGTATCACCGACCAACCCGCCAGCACGAGTGTAAACTCCCCAGCCGTGTCATCTCTTTGCACTTTCCGCCGCGACACGCACAGATAAGCACTCGCATTGCATAGGTGAAGTGTGTGGAGAGATGGCCGAGCGGTCTAAGGCGCTGGTTTAAGGCACCAGTCCCTTCGGGGGCGTGGGTTCGAATCCCACTCTCTTCAGAACTTTTTTGACTTCGTCGCTCGAAATTGAATGGACTGGGGAATCTTGCATTGCTCTACATAAGACTTCCATCTGTTAATCTTCTTAAATTCTTTCCGTTCGATTTCTGTGGGAACTAGTGAATCTGCTATAATAGCATCACATACAATGACAAAAAGGGGCGCCCATTTGACTTATTTGCTACAGGGGTCATGCTATTCTACTGATTCCTACTCACCTCTTGTATATTTTCTCAGTCCACCTCCTCCTTTTGTATATTTTCTCCGTCCACTTTCCTTCTCTTGTAGGACTTTGTCCGGACACCTTACACATGATTTTGGGTGGGGGGTCTACCAGTGCGGCTTGGATGACGCTTCCTTCAGGATCCCTGAAAGTCAGATAAGTTATTACAAAGACTTTTGGGGCACGTGGGTTCGAACCTGACCCCTGTCGCATGGCAGTCTAATCTCTTAGCCACTTAGCTATGGGCGCCCCGCGAGCACTCGGGGCGCGGGGCCCCTATAAACCCGGGGCGCGGGGGGGCGGCGCCGCTCCGCATTGCGCGCAGCTCACGGCTTCCGGAGGGTGGCTAGCGCTCGGGAGAAGACGCCTAGGGTAATTTTGCATTCTGATGCGATTGGCGGTAACCATTTCCTTGAAAACTTGAAATAAAATAGATGGAGGCTGAAAATGACTTGTTTTTGCGAGAATTGAGGAATTTTCGGCCTTCTATCCACATATCTCGGTACCAGTTTATCCGATCGGTCTGAAACCAGGAACCACAATATTTCAATGCTAGTCCAGCTGCGAAGTCAGGGTCCGCTCGGATTTTCGCCTTCAAATAGCCTGGGCTGGACTTTTGCGCACGGGCAACACCAATGGCGCTCTTCTACATAAATATGTTGCCAAGAATTTTGCGGCGGCAATTCAAAAAATGAAAAAAAAACCGTTCAAAAAACAAGTTTCAATTTTCAGATTTCCACCATCCTCTACTTCTCTTACACGTCTATCTTCGTGTTCATGTTCTTCCTGATGACCGGAACAATTGGATTCCTGGCCACCTACTATTTCGTGCGCAAGATCTATGGATCCGTCAAAGTCGACTAACCAGTCCGCGTGTCCACCTGGCCACTCGTCTGGTTTATGATTCTGAAAGACAACATTAACGACTTTATTGTGACCGTCTCGTTTTTTTTCCTATTGCATTTCTTTTTTTCTTCCTCAGAATCCGGAAAAACCTGACCTGAGACCACATTTTCAGTGAACAACGTATGGGTTGTATACATTTTCTACCGATAATTTATTTGAGTTTATATTGCTCCCCTCAATTCAATTTTTCGAAATTCTATTGGGCACCTGGGTATTTTAGGTTAAATGGAGTTTGCAATTGCAAAAACACAACAAAAAACCGAATATGCTTTATCTTTTATTACTTTAAATGTATTGTAATTTGAAATCAAAACTCCACTCATTCCGTAATCTGTTTTCTCTGATGACATGTAATAAAGGAGGATCACGATGTTCTCGGTGGAAAGAATGATTATTCCAAAAGTCTTGTTTCATCAAACCCGTTTTCTGTCTCTCTTTCTCTTTCTCAGTGATGTTATAAACTTGAAATTGGGTCAGACGTTCGCTCTCGCAGAAACACGTTTCCACATCCTCTCCGCAGCTGCAGGATTCTGCCACTCGAGTATATTCTCGTCCTATCCTAACGAATGATGCGATCTGCCCAACTTGTGTGCCTTGTTCTTATTGGTAAGGTTTTATTCTCAAAATTATAATTTCATCTGTTCTTGTAGGACTCACACTGACTTATGCGAGCGCAGAGATTATTCAAAAAGGCAAACTTGCGAAACATGGACTGATGAAAGAGAACAAGCCGAATTGCCTTTTGGTGAGAAAATTGATGAACTATGAGAAAATCGTTGTGATTTTAGACCAGATCCAGACTTGGATGTACATGTACAACATGCAAGGAGATTGTCGGATTCACCAGAATGCTCATCCTTAACCACGTGGTAGTTATTTTTCCGATTCGAATCTGAACGAATTCTTCAATTTTTAGCCGGGTGAGGAGGAAGTTCTCGACAAAGTGTGCTACAGAATTTTCGGAGATGACAAGAAGAAGGAGTCGTTCTGTGAAGAGCTCATCAAGGTACACAATTATAGACTATTTCAGCCCACCAACGCGGTTCTTTTGCAGGAGGAGCTTCCGGATATCATCAAATACGTCAGAAATCACTTGGAACCGAAACAGGCTTGCGCAAAGTTCTGCTAACTTTTCAATGCGATTCAATACTTGTTCTAATAACTTTATTTATACACACTTGGACATAATTATAAAGCCACTCTATTTTTGCGTTTTTCTCTAGAACCAAAAATGATACCGACGATACCGTCTTTCAGACAATAATCCATGCCATGAACCTCACATAATGATAGAAAAAAACCGGATGAATCCGAACTTTCGGACGGGGTTTCCCTCGGGACTAGGGGGGACATTATTGCTATGCAAGAAGTCGAACTCTCTCTCTCTCTCTCTCTCTCTCTCTCTCTTCCTCTCTCCGACATTATTGCTTTGCAAGAAGTCAAACTCTCAAACTCTCTCTCTCTGACATTATTGCTATGCGTCAACGGTCTTTTTTCGTCCTCGCGCTCATTTTTCACAGTCCGCCCGCATTTCACCGGCACTTTATTTCCGCAGGTTGTCCGTTTATCCGCGAATGACTCCAAATTGAATGAGGGCCAAATAAGGGTGCCCATTTGCCCACGCCCATGCCTGTGATTGACTTTATATTTGTCCTCTGTGTTGTTCCGACATATCTACGTGTTTTTCTTAAAGAATGGGACCACGATGAAATTCTGCTCTCGTCATTTCTAGAAATAAAGTTGTTACGAAAGAATATGTTCGTCCTGCCACTAAGAACACATTAAAAATAATGCAATAATTGCATTGCAATCCATTTGCAATGTCTTTTCCAACGTTACCTCTTTTTTCCATTTCTCAAGTGTTCCTCAGGCTGCAATGCTCGTAAGTTATGTTGTCAAGGACGCGATATGTCGGTTTTGTCTGTGTTTGCAGACTGAGATGAGATGACAAAGCAACTGTTTCTAAATCGTTCGATTTTGCGCTCATTTTCTCATTTTCTGTTGACTGCGTTCAAAATTGCTATTTTCAGCACAACATCTTGCCGAAACGGGGTAACTCTACCAAAAAACCATTGTTTTCACTCGGAAACTCCCTCTTCACAATATTTTTTTTAGTTTTTTTTTAGCCGGTAAGCATTTTGTGTTCATTCACATGTTCTGAAACCTTTCTTTCAGATAACACTCAATATCGAACTTTTTGAAAAATCGTAAATTTTGCGTCAATACGGTGAGTCAAATTCGAGAAAAAATAAATCATAGAGGCCAGCTTTTGTCGTACAATTTGTGAACATTTTTCTGTTCAGCTTACGATCGAATCGGACGTCAATTCGATGCGGTAATTGGAAACCTCTACAAAGTGGGAGCATTCGACATCACAACAGTATACTCCAAGCATGACGTGGCACGTATGTTTCTAGCCGTAACTTTCAAGAAATCTGGGGATTTTTTAGCGGAAATCATAAAAGGATATCCTCACAAAATAGAAATGGACTGGTGGTCAATGGGAATACTCATAAAACAAATGTTAACCAGGGCGAAGACGACGAAAACCCTACGAAACTGAGGTTTTGGACGCAGCTTATGATCTCTTCTGGAAGGTAAGTGAACGCTCACGCTAAACCCAGTCGTGTTCATTTTTTATTTTTCAGGTACTAGCCGAAGACCCCCTGAAAATATAAATTGATTCAATCGATGGCGTCCGAAGGATCACGCAGCTAGCTCATTTCTACAAAAAGCACGCATATATTTTTCCGATCTTTCCTGACCATCAATTGTTTATTGAATTCCCCTTAATCACGCCTAACCATTATTCTATTCTATTAAATTTCCCGTTGCCCCACGCTATATATTGGTTCTCAAATGAAAGTAGAGGATGATGGAAATTATTTTTTAAAACAATTTCTGTCTTGAACATCAAGCCATCACGAAATGTGCCCGGCATTCGGTTTTGTCGTTCCCATCAGCCCTCATCCTTCCATTGTCTCACCACGGATCTCTCACCAACGCAAGTCTGTTGCGTCAAACGAAAAACCACTCTAATGAGGGAGACACAGAGAGAAGAGAGAGCACACAGTGCGTGGTGGTCCTTAATGTATGCCAATTGACCATCGCCCCTTCGTCATCCTCATTTATTGATTGGATATTGTTCTCTGCTGTCCTCCAAAGATTCGATGAACATCAAGAAGCAAAAGCCAAAATTTCTACCAATTCCCAGAGAAGTTGAGCAAGGTGAGTGACTGAATTCATTTTCCCTTCAATTTTTTTGTCATTTTCAGAAGATGCGGGCTTTGTAACGGTTCAAACCGACAGAATACCAAGTGTGCTCATTGTCCGTTGGTTTGATCTGTTCTGCTTCGGTTTCGCGATGTGCTCCTACATTTTGGACTTCTCCTCTGACATTGGAATAGCGATTATGCACTTCTTGGCGGGACGAGTGAGTTTTTCGTTGTTTCCTCCGAAAAAAGCACTTTTCTTGCAGACTCTATCTGGAGCACTTATTCTGACCTTTGCAATGATCCCTTCCATCATAATCAACATCATTTCTTGGATTTGGATGCGGAACGACGAGTTGAAGCACAGAAATGTTCCAGAAAGCATCGTCAATAGGGAGTTGACACCGAAAAAGTTCATTTCCCTAAGGAAAATGACTTTTCTGTGTGTTTTCCAGGTAATTTTTAGGGAAATATTGTTAAAAAGTGATAATGTCGCAGATAGGGCCACTATTCTGGTACTACAAGGCCTTGTACTACGGAAGCATGTTTCGGAATGGCGACAAGAACGATGAAAAGGAGAGAAGAAAGAATTTTTCGAGAATGGTGGAGGCCGAGACCGATGCAACGCTGCTCAGGTTGCTATTTTGTCTGTTTTGTGGTTCAGTAGAGACCAGGTGGCTCAGATGATACAAGCCCGATAGGGCTCGGCAAATTCCTTTTGACAATCACAACCCTTACTTGAAAACTTCCAGATGCTTCGAAGCTTTCCTCGAATCCGCTCCCCAAATGCTCATCCAAGGTTCAATCGCCGCCAACTACTTTCAACACTCGTACATCTCCGGCCACGTCCCTTATTGGCTCTACTTCCAAGCCGGATCACTTCTCATCTCGATCATCAGCGTCTCCTGGTCCATCGTCGTTCAAAACCGTTCGCTGCGAATGATTAGCGATAACAAAGTCAATATTTGGCCGCACGAAGCAGTATTGCAGGTGAGACTGAGACTTTGATAACGTTACTGTAGTGATTAGAAGCCAGAAAAAAAAAGTAATGAGCGGACGAAATTTGCTTCTTTTTTTTTGCAGTTTTGCTGGAGATTCCTCACGATTTTCGCGCGGATCGTCACACTTTGCGCCTATGTGCTTGTGTTTCGGATCAACGTCATTGCACTTTTTGCCGGACATTTGCTGGCTTCGCTCATTCATGTCATCATTCTACAGGTATCGTTATTTTCTCGTTTTGTCGGATTTGTGGCAAAAGGAAAATACTTTGGAAGTTTCCAGTTAGTACATTTTTGTTGGGTGCTGAAAAGTGGAAATCGTTTAACGAAGTCCACCTTAATTCTCTGTCGGAAGAGTGAGAATCCACTGTTTTTCAGGCACTGCACATCGAACACCACACAAACCGAGATCGTCATGTGTCGATTGAAAAAGTGCTTCCTCTCATCAACACTCTCATTCACGTGTTTACCCCGTTCAACATGGTGGAAGGATACACAAGATACCGCTATTTTGTTGCCTACACCGTCGAACTTTTTGAAATGCTAGTGAGATCGCGTCGTTTTACTGAAAAGACAACGAGCTGTGTACTTTCAGACAATTTTCCTTTTCCTGGGGCCCAGATTGCAATCATTTCCTCTCATTGGCGTCATTCGATGTACGGTGTTGTCTTCTTTTGTTCTCGGTAAGATTATTTGGTCAAATAGTGGGAGAAATAGAATGAAATTGCAGGAATTTGTGTGATGATTGTGTATTATCAATTCTTCCACCCAAATAGAAGACTTCTTCTGCCATCCCAGACGTTGACGGACATTCCAACTGACTTGGAAAGAGCAGATGGGGTAGCCGAACTGGAAATCACGGATCTGAGGCCGAAAGATCAAGACGAGGCCCAAAAAAGCACTGACCAAGCCGAAAAGTCGGACACAGCGGCCCAGGACGAATGTCATAATTGAAATCGGGTCTTATTGTGATCTTTACTTTTGAAATATGAGGTATCAAATACAGTATAGTGATAAAAGCAAATAAAGTTATATCTACACTCCAAAAAATGTTCAAATGTGAACCACACAGGCAACTTGTTTGACCACAGCAAGCTTCCCGTACTTGTCAAGTGAGTACCATCTGCAACTACCGTAACCTGATGATGAGTCTCTCAAAAACGTGAAACTTACCGTCCGAACTTGCAAACAGCGTCATGTTTTTCATTTTCGATCACTCCAAGCGATCCCATATTGGAAAAAAGCTCGACTACTCCGTTCGCTTCACCTTCACAATAGATTTCAGCTTTCTTTTCCTTGCCCTCAAAGTACCTAAACTCGAAATTGAACTCTGAATGACTTCAATTATGAACTAACAATATCTTCGGGGTCACATCCTCATTTTCACCGTCCCAAACTCGGACAATATCTTGACAGGGTACTGAAATATAAAAATTGACTTTTTGGTGAAAAAATTTCGAACAAAAAAACTCACTAGCCGCTCCAAAAACGACGGTGGAAGCCAACAAAAGAGCAATAAATATCGACGGGGACATTTTCAGAAAATAAACGGGAACTGGTCATGTTCGTGCCCGCTTCGTTTTATATCTTCATTCTTTTTCTTTTCTTGACAGATGTTTGTGTTGTTGGTTGATAACAGCTGTGGGTGTCTCGAGGAATGGATGAATCATAGAAGAGCGGGCATCTAATGAAAGTTTTTATGAATGCGGGGGGACAGGGCACAAAGTTCTGAATAGAAAGAAACTGAGAAAGTATTCACAGTACTTTCCTGCTTTTAGTTGCAAAAGATTATCTTCTTAGTTCAATTTATAGCCAGAACACTTATTTATCTGAAGTTGCTTTTTCAGATGAGGCTACACAGAAAAGTGTTGTTTTACGGAAGTGAACTTCCGCGAGTCATAACCCTCCCGTGTGAGAGCGTACGGAAACTTTGTACACATGAAAATCTACCTTCAGCTATGTGGAATACACGAAACATCTCTGGGTCCAGTTCAGCACAGTTTTTGCAAAAAGCCCGGCCTATTTTCCCCAAATCACTATTTCTCCGGACCAGATAATCCAAGTCCGAGAAGCCTGAGAAGTTTGGTACCTATAGGAATATTACAAAAGATTAAACAACCCTGTCTTGGACGTTATTTTCGGCTAATTGTGATGTGAATATAAAAAGATAACTATGTTCAACAGAATTCATGAATAAAGACGAAAGTTTTCAATGTTTTTTCAATTGCACTAACGGAAATTCATGCACTCGGTTAATCTGACCGGTACATAATCCATTTCTGCAGGCAAGCAGCCAAAAAATTACGTGATTCACGTCGGCGAGCAAGCGAGCAAGCCGGGGAGCCGAGCCGACATAAAAAACGTGTGTGGGCGCCAGTCCGGTTTCGACTGTTCTTTTTGACTGTCTCCTCTCGATCTGAGGCCCCCCTTCCGTCGTTTCCGATGAAGATGATGAAGAAGAGCAGGAGCTACCGGACATGTTTGTGGGAGGACTTACCGTCGGAAGACGCCCGATCGCGGAAAAAGAGCACGGCTTATGCGGAGAGCCGTCAGACACTGAAATGAGTTTGTGTGTGGGGTTCGGAAAAACGCGAAGAGTGAGAAAGAGGTGGTCAACTATCTCCCTTTCGCCACATACTGCTCCCCCTTCTTTGTTTCTCATCATCAATCGACCCCCTTCTTCTTCTGAATTTCATACCATATTCATTGGATTGTCTGAACTGACATCACTCAAAACTACAGTATCCTTGCATGCCAAAGGTGAGCTAGTGATTTTGGGTGTTTGACCGCGATGGTAAACAGTAAACTGACACAAGATGGAACTTGTAAAACACTACCGCGAAGGATTACTGTTTTTTGGGCCAAAAGTGCAGTGCATTTGGTGGAGAAACAGTGTAGGAAAGGTGGGAGAGTTGTTTAATCGAAGTAACCAACTAATTGCCCACATTTTTTTGCGTTTCTTTTCGGAAAATCAGTTTAGTTCTATGATATAACTTTCATTTGGGTCAGTTGACCATGTCGCTAAAACAAGTAAGTTCTTTTGGTTCTTTTTCAGACAAAGCGTGACTTGAACTCTCCGATTTTTCAGCTATTTTCCGATCGTCCGCCTTTGAATGCAGTGCTTCAAGAAAAAGCACAAAAACTACGGTATTCGTGCTCGCCGAGCAAATGCCTGCACTCCCTCCTATCATTCTTACCGATTATTACCTGGCTTCCAAAGTATGACTGGTCACACTCATTCTTCGGAGATTTATCGGGAGGCCTGACAATGGCTGTCTTCTCGGTACCACAAGGTAACATCGAAAAGTTTCAATTGTATACCACAATTTGAATTTTGACTTCAGGTATCGCATTAGCAAGTATCACAGGGGTTCCACCAGTCTACGGGTTATACACGGCTATCTTCCCCTCATTTCTCTATATCTTTTTTGGGACTTCGAAACATAATGCGCTCGGTAAACCGCCGTCAAGATCTTTGTTCGGTCAACGGGCAACCGTTTGTGTTTCTAGGTGGCTTTGCAGTCCTCTCACTCATGACCCACGGCGCTATCGAGAAGGTGATGCTGCGGACGGCGACGAGTTACAATGCGACGGCATATGTGAATCACACTCTCGACGAACTTATCGATATGGACAATGATACCATCATCAGTAATACTACACTTATGCAGTACGGGCAACTTGAACAGAAAAGCGAAACTAGAGAAGTTTTATTCCAGAATCCTTGGAAACGAAACGTCATTTGTTGAGGAGGTCACTATGGAAATGTGGACGGACGGTGTGACCCCGGTGAAGCAGATCCACGTGGCAACTACTATTATCTTCTTAGCTGGTGTTATCCAGGTTTGAATGTTCGGAAAAATCAATCTAACAAAAGGTGTTCTCAGGTGTTTATGGGAGTATTTCGTCTACAATACCTAACATCTCTGTTCTCTGAGCAGGTCATGTCAGGATTCGTAGTTGGCGGTGGAATTCACGTCTTTTTTGCTCAAATTGGTGAAGTTCTTGGTATACGTCTGCCAAGACGTTCCGGACCTGGATACCTTTACTATGTACGTCAAATCACCTGGACTTAAGAAAGTATACATACATTTTGCTTTCAGAGAATCTGGGACCTCATAGATAACCTTCATAGCGTTCACATTCCAACATTATCAATCTCAGCCTCATCGTTCCTCTTCTTAGTGTTCGGAAAGGAGTACTTGGCCCCATGGCTGAGTTCAGCTTTCCATTACCCAGTTCCATTTGAGCTGGTACTGGTGAGAAACAGAATCATCGAGTCAATATTGTCTTTTGTGCTCATTCAGGTGGTCGTCGGTATTACTGCAACTAATTACGCGGAACTTTCTCGCCGGCATGACGTGAAAGTTGTCGGGAATATCCCCACCGAGTAGGTTTTCTCTTTTTTGATGTTGTTCCTATTTGAAATTGAATGACTCATTATTTGACATACAGATTTCCGCCGCCATCGCTCCCAAGATTTGATTTGATCCGACACATTGGCCTCAACGCAGCTGCCATCGCCATCACAGCTGTGGCCATTCATATTACGGTCGCCAAAGTAGTGGAGAAGAGGTACAAGTACAAAATCAACCATGGACAGGTACCGTAACCCGATTTTTTTTTCACATTCTCACCAAAAAATGTCTTGACAGGAACTGTACGCCCTTGGATTTGTCGGAGTATTATCCTCATTCTTCCCAGTGTTCCCAGTAACGTCAGGTTTTGCTCGAAGTGTAGTTGGAGCCGCCGTCGGAGGATCCACTCAACTCACATGTCTTTTCTCCTCCTTGGCCCTCTTGTCGGTCATTCTGTACATTGGACCCGCTCTCGAATACCTACCACAATGCATTCTGGCCACTATGATCATATTTGCGCAGAAGGGAATGCTGGAAAAGTTTGGTGAACTAAAAAGTTTATGGCCAGTTTTTAAGATTGACTTTGTACGTTTTGAAAAACTGCTATTATAATAATAGTTTTTTGAATTCAGGCGATTTGGCTCATGAGCTTCTTCCTGACTGTCTGTTACGATATGGGAGAGGGTCTCCTAATGGCTATTGGCTTTGCGGTCCTCACCACAATCATCAGAACTCAACGGCCTAAATGGCATTTTCTATCCCGTGACGATGAGACCGATCATTTTAAGGAAACGAAAAAGCGAGACCTGGAACGCATTCAAGGCAACGTTTGCATTTTCCGAATGGACGCACCGTTGATTTTTACGAGCAGCGACAGATTTACAATGGTATGCGTTAAAATCGGTCCCCCCCCCCCTTCTCAAAAATGTGATATTCGTACAATTTTCCACACCAATTCCCCGTCCCTCTAGAATATTTATTTGTTGTTTGCAGTCCGTTTGGCAATGCGTCAAAAAATGGGAACGATGCAAATCCGAATCGTTTGTGACAATTGAGCAGATGAATTCTGACAGAAGTGCTGATATTTTTGACTCGGTACGAAAGGGTGATTGCTTGATGGACATGTTTTTCGGTTTCTTGCAGAAACTCAAAGCAGCTCGACGACGTTGGAAGAGAGATCAGAAATCTGATAGTCGATGCAAGTTGGTCATTGATTGTGACGGATTTCCATACGTTGATTATCTGGGGCTTTCGACTCTGAAAACAGTTTACGCGGACTTGTCAGCTGCCGGAGTTCATTGCTTTTTTGTTGTTCAGAAATCAGAACTGAAACGTCTGTTCCGTGCCACTGACTTTTACGAGGTCGTCGACGAGTCCAGGGTGTTCAATAAAGTGGCAGATGCAGTGAAAGCCGCGGAGCAACTGATTTCGTGAGTGGAACATAAGAAGAAAGAAAGCAAAAAAAGTTTCGCTCCCGGGTGGGCTCGAACCACCAACCTTTCGGTTAACAGCCGAACGCGCTGCCTATTGCGCCACGGAAGCACATAGACCAGCGGGGGTGCACTGCGTAGACTAGTTCGGCGCGTTGTGCAGAGGAGAGAGACTCGAAAACTGGCCGACGTGCTGTGTACTTACCACGTCGGCGGCCGCGTGAGGCCCCTTTCCAACTTGGCACGGCAAATCCAGAAGTTTCTAATCGACTGCGTCTTCTAACGGAACAGTGGAGAGTGTGAGGCAGCGAAAGAGCGTTAGTTTGTGCAGAATTGGGCTTTTTAGAACATTTCTCATTTAGGAGGCAAAGAATCGCTCTTTTTCGAATATAGTTAGCGAAAATGTGTGTGTAACTTGACCCGACCCAACCCATTCCAACTATTCAAGTGCTTCTAGTGTGAGACGAATGAAACAAATTCCAGATCTCCAAAAACTTGCAAAGAAACTCTAACAGCACTGGCCAGTATTGCTACAACCGACACAATGTTGATAGATGAGGAAACAGCTGAAAATGACGAGCCAGAAGTCGATGAAAGGGCTACAGAAGAGTCGGAAAACTCGGAAGAAGCAATGTCAGAAACATCGGTGTCAATCGAAGAGGCGAGAAGTTCATCTTCCTCGAGAGAATCTATCAATTCTGAAGAATAATTTCTCTTTTCTTTTTCTGCTCTTCAACAATTTCTTGCTAAAATTCTATCACTTTCAATTATTTCCATGTGTTTAAAAAGCCTAAGCAAAGCGAGTATTTTAAAAAGTTTATTCATATTGATATAATACATCCCTTTTTCCTTCCAACAAAAAAATTTACCTAATATACGGTACGCGCACACATAAATGATTCAACCGTTGCTGAATGTCACCTAATTTGCAATCCTGCACATGTTTGCCCCAATTATGTACCCTTTCAAGCAGAACGATGACCACTCTGTTCAAATAGAAGAGAAATGATATACGGAAGACGCGTTTCAAGAGCTTCTCGCCTTTTTGAAATGAGCAACGGAGAGTCATCATGGTTTCGAGTGATTTCAAAACACTTCAAGTGCATTTCTTCACACTTATTTGCTTTTTGGTCGCAATTTTGTATACATTTTGCCAAGACGCGAAAATGATCTGATTTTTGACTTGAAATACCTAACAAAACGTGAATATCTCCGATCGGTCTTTTTTTCGGCCTGGCCCGGCCCGAAATCTAAGCTGCGTTTCAGAACCACTCCCCCAAGAGATCATGAAAAATTGGTCACTTGTTGCACGCCAATCATTTCATTTCCGCTTCAGAAAACATGAGAAAAATGTGATAAGAAGATAAAAAAGCAAAAGCCACATGTCAAAAATCTCAAGAAGAACAACACACATACACACACACACACATACGAAAAGATAAGAGACATGATAGTGAGAGTCAAAGTTTTCATAATTTCTCCGCAGTCCCCCCTTCTCTCCTTTTTTTCCCGTTGTAAACCCCGGTCGTCCTCCCCCCATTCCACGAGGTGGTGGCAGCGTTTGGTATCATGTTACCGGGTGCATCAGAACATCGTCATCACAAAGTTCCTTTTGATATGTTGTGATTTAAGTTTACTTGTCCTTTTAACACAACTGATAAGAATCATTAGAAAAAGATGATTCTCCAGTCTGCCCCAACAATTTGTTTTATGTCATTTTTCGCGGCTTCTCGACAGGTGACACCTCTTTTCCGCTTTTCCACCCTCTTCCTCCCATTTTTGCCTCAATTTTGCGGTCTTTATAGAGTAATTATAGGATTTTGGTGAGAGCGAGGTGGAAAATGGATAGGGGGTACCAATTTCAAGGTTAATGGTGCCACGGGGTGGCGGATAATTAGTTTCTTCCTGGACTTTTTCACTCCAAATCTCGAAAATCGTTTCGCTCTTATCTTCTCCTTCTTTTTCTCCACGCCTTTTTGTACAGTTGGCTGCCAATTTTGCGCTAATGCTGCGCGCGTGAATGGAATTGAAAATGTGATAAACCGACCAGTCATCAGGCGGCAGGGAGGAGCGCAAATTGAAATAATAATAATAATAATACAAGCGTAGCACTTTTGTATTGGTCACTTTTGATGTTTCCGTTTTTCACCAACGCTTATATAACAACCGTAATTTGCATACACCGTCCTGTTTTGGCTAGCATATTATGTGCGATTTCCTCTCTCTCTCTCTCTCTCTCTCTCCCTTTCCCTCTTTCTCTTTCTTGTAAAGAAAATCCACTAGAATTTCGGCTTCCTCCGGCCATCCCACCCAAATTTCATGCGAGAGTGCACTCCGATCCGTCGTTAATCGTCGTTTTGTGTGTGTTGTCCTTTTCTCTGGGAAAAGTCGAATAGCTACCGTATCCGATGAGCTTTCCTTTTCAAACCTGTTCTCCTGGGAATACTGTAGATTTAGATTTGAGGAGTAAGTGGTGTCTACTATACACCTCTGTTCCATCTCGATGATTCTTTTGAGAAAGTGCAAGGGTTTTGTACTTTGTCTGCACTTTCCGCCGGTTTGCATTTTCGATGAAACATGGGAATAGATTGCTTTTTTGCAACACCCATTCTTTCTGAATTTTCCCGCAAAACATCGTCTTCCTGTTCCCGCCCGTCTCGAGCGTTTTATGTCCATATACATTTCATACGGGTGTGTGTCCAAGGTTACCCCCCTTCTCTTCAGAGCTATAAAACTAACCGATCAGTGGATGTGTTCTTATCGTCATCATATCTATACTGACCTCCTCCCTCACTCATTTCTTCCGACGTGTACTATTTACTTTTCCAAACTTTTCCTTTTGCCCCTCAGAATTAATCTAAAAGACGGTCCCACGGTGGTCCTGAAAAGGCGTTTAATTAGATTAGGCTGGCAAGTGAAAGGGATGGACGAGCCCGAATTTCAGGAGAAATTAAAAGCAATTAACTTTGATGTTCCCTCAACCTAAAGGGACATTTCATAGATAAATAAGAGTGGTACACTTTCGAAAGCCTCGCCAGGGCGGCACATCAGCAAAAAGGACAGATCTAATTAGATTCAATGGTACGATTAGAGATTAGCTCGCGCTTCAAAAGTTCTTTTGCTTCTTCCACCTACTCATATGTATGTATTCCACCGCTCGATTCTACTCATTAGGGATCCGCTGACAGCTAGCTCATGGCTAATGAGCGGTCCCCCGGATTGACTTGAAAGGCGTGCCGCTTGATGATTCCGCGCGCGCACCGCTCACATTTATATCGGTGCCCGCATCATAACATTCGACTCATTATCTTGCTACCTCTCCCTCTTCTCCCCCCGCTTGCCTCCTGATCGACGGCGGCCACAGGCGGTTGGCATGGTGCATCGTGTCCCTTTGTTATTCTTTGCGGTTCACTTTGACCCTGCTTTTGTTTGATTTTATGAACGAACTTTGTGTTTTTTTTGGTATCATCGTTCTGCATAAACGTTCATTTCCACTAAAGTTGTTTTTCGCCAAGATCTCTCGTGATCAGCACATTGGGCTGTGATCTAATCAAGAATTTCCAAATTCGGTAGGATTCGCAAAATAATCAGAGACTTCTAAACGCAAATTCAAAAAGTCTCGGCTAGACACCCCATTACTGCACCATTAACTTTACTATCACCAGAGTGCTCCGCTCCTCTTCCCCTTTCCAAAGTGCATCCCGCCACTTTGCATCTGCATTCAGAAAAGTTCGCACTTTCGTCACGGCTCCCCCCCCCTCCCTTGGCTTTGCTCTTCTGTCCCCCCAGCTTCTCCTTCAAAAGATACCGATCTCGGGTGGTTTTTGCGCACTCTCGTCCTCCCGCTTCCCGTCTTTTGCTATGCTGCTCATTCATTAATTTGATGTATTCGTGCATAAATTTAAATAAAAACCCGGGGACGGAAAAGGGTACTCGCCAGTTCTTCTTCGTCTTCTCCTTCTACACCCCATTCATTCATTCGTTTCATGGAATCCGAGATTTAGGGCTGGCGCTCAGATTTTTCAAAGATTCCCGGAGAAGGCATTCGGAGAAATGGGGAAAAGGGAAGATCGAGAAAACCGGAGAAATACATACATACACAAACCCATATACTTACACAATTGCCCCTGTTGTCGGCAGTAATCCCCCCGGTTTGTTCTTCGTCCCCTGCCGGTCCTCCTCTCCGCACTCCCAGCCCCCCGTTAGACTTTTCCTAATCCACGCCCAATCCCACTGTATTGCATAAACACCGCCACTCATCCATCCCATCCAATCCATCGGCCAGCTTTCTCCGTTTCAAAGTCAGTACCATTAGATATTTGGTATTTGGCCAAAGTCCTGCGATGTCCTGGACGCGAACAGCTCATTCTTATGCACACATACGTCTTCCACATGCGTTCCCACATTCACACTCCAAAACTTTTGTGTTCTCTTCTTCTCTTCCGGTTCGTTCGAAACTTTGCTCATCAAAAGAGCGAGGGAGGGGCACTTTTCAATGATTCATCCACACATTCTTCGCAACGCTGCATGTTACAGTTAAAGATAACCACCCACAGCATCCGGAATGCAAAGTGGAGGGTATATAACGGATCCGAGCTCTAAGATGCACTAAAGTTCCTCGTTTTTCTTTTTCACTATGCGACCACGCCGGGCCGATAGATTTCTGTCCTGTCGTCCCGGGTTTCAGCACTATGTAAGTTGAACCTGCGCTGGGTCTTCCGCGTCCGCAATCAGCAAGCACTTTTTCGCAAGTTTCGCTCGCTCTTCAACTTTTTGTTTGCGAAAACCATTAGGCTAATCGAAAATATTACAAAAACTCCATTCTGACGCCTCGACCCAACTTTCGACTCCCCCTCTCTTTTATTTGCAACAAAACTCTTCTTTTTTGATAGAGTTTCAATCAAACAACACAAAACTCGCTTGTTTTTGCTGCTCTTCGAGGGGTCTTCTCGGAGCACGTCCTAGCACGAAGAGCACGAAGAAGTAAGCGTCTTCGCCCCCTCCATCATCATCCGTTTTTTCGCCCTCTGGTCATTTCGCCTGTGTCCACTTTGCGGTCCTCGCTTCTTTTTTCGGAGAGAAGAGATAAGTATGTGTGTGCGAAAGGGAAGGGACATGTGCAACAAAATCTTATTGCTTTTCCACTTTCACGCACATCAGTTTTTTGTCGCAAATTTGAATATCCATTCTCTCCCGTTTTTGGCTAGAGGAGTAAGGCGCAACCTTGGAACACGAAAAAAAATGGGTCATACAATCAGTGGATTTTTTCGCTTCTTTGCAACAAAGTTTTCCTTTCTCTTTTTCTGTTCTATTCAGACCTCTGCAAGTCGAACTTCGTACATATTTGCATGTCCTGACTGACCAGTGTATGAACATCATCCAGTTCCGACGATTCTTGACCGTTCTCCGCTCTCTCCTTCTCCTTCTTCTTCTATTATTCAAAACTCTGCGAGGCCATCGAAAGTAACCCATTAAACACACTAATAATAAGTTTCTCGGGTACTACTACGCGCACCACTTTCCCCCACCCCCCTCCCCTTTTCTTCCCGATTCGGATCCACGACCGTTTCGCGCAAAGTAACATAATGTTGCAACACAACCTAGCAAATAGAAGTTCCGAGAATTGGGGAAAATCTATTCTCTAGACCCAAACGCAACGCAACCTTGGTCTGTTCACTCATCTCCATCATTTCGAAAGGAGGCAAACGCAGCTGGACCAACGGTCGATTGCGTGTTTCAAGACAAGATTTAATATTTTCGCTCGCCCCCACCTGTCGCACCCCTTTTTTGTTCTCCTCTTTCCCTCATAAGATTGTCCCCCAATGACAGGTGCTCAACATTTGGCGCCCTTGTCCTTATTCATCACTAATTCAAACCGACCCGGGGCTCTGCCCTTTATAAGTGCATTTTTTAATGTCTTGGGGCCGGCTGAATGGGCTGGGTGGTGAACAGATCGTTAAGGTTAGTGCGGTAGACATTGCCGATTAATATTTGACAAAAAAGGATGATTGATCTATCACTTCTCTTTCACGCCTATCACTGCGTTATCCAGTTTTAGAAGGGTGAGCTTCTAAGCATAAGTTCCCTGTTGTTGTTCAGAATCTCTCAATTGTATTTCGCAATTCCACTCCGCTCTTGCACTTTTCTTTTCCTCCCTACATTTAGCATTCTGACGCCCACCCGAAATCCTTCCAAAGAAAAACAACATTTTCGCCCATTTTTCCGCTACATGATATTATGCAACACTCTGACAGAGCACAATAGTGCTCAAACAAGAGGGCAACCCAACGGATGCACTGATTGAGTCCCTCTCCTCTTCTCCTTGCCACCGACCTTACAATTAGTCCGTGGGTCTCTCTCCTAGCTAACCCTAAAGAAGCCCCGCCCAATTTTTTTCGGTGGTCACGACCTCCCCCACATCGCTCTTCGGACCTCCTCATATGGTCATCCAATCTCTGTGGCTCATCAATTTGAAAGGCGTTTATTGGAATGAGCGCGAAAGAGGGTCGCGGTCCTCTTTTCCTCACCCTTTCCCTCTTTGCTTTTTCTTCTTCTTTCTCTTCCCCCCCATCACTTTCGACTTTTTAGTACTAATGTTCACATGATTTTATATATGTATTGCTATTGCACAAAATGTGTGATATCCTCCGAAAAGTAGGTACGACGCGCGAAAAAAGTTTTCGCCGATCCGATTTTCATCAGTTGTTCTGCTCCGTGTTTCTGGTTGGTTCTATAAAACATCTCGATAATGTGTGGAATCCGATCGGCACCCACGTACACCTACGCATCTCCTATCGCTTGTTTGAGAAACAGTTTTTTTTTCGCCGCTCCGTAAAAGTGGGCGGAGCTTGTGGAGCACATGCGTTTGCTAGATAATGTGCTATAACACCTCGCCACAACCCACTGTGCCGTCTTATCACGCATTATTTTCTGCAAACAGAGTGTCAGAGGTTGGTGTTCGGGACCACGAGGTCAGTTTGATAAACAGTGCCTGGAATTTGGAAACTCAATACTTTTGTGGTTCACTTTTTGCAGTTTTTGCAGCAAAATCAGGCAAATAAACCGTTATTAATCTAAACAAAAACATTTTTCCTTTGTTCCTCAAGGCTCCCGCCCACAGTAGCTACGATTTCGTTGCGGGAAATTCGGAAATCTGAACAGCCCGCCCCTTCCCCATCCTCTTGTGCTCTATAAGAATCATCAAGGGAATCGTAAATGTCCCTAATTCATATCGCCACTTTCATTCGCCTTCTTCTCCTCGCCCATCGCCCGCCGATACATAACCACCACACCCTCTCGGCTTCTGTTGTTGTCCTTTCTCGACCCCACACATTTTAGGAATGAATGACAGACGGGTTGGGATAGTTGAGATGGGCGAGAGTCGGAGTGAGAGCGAGCAAATCAGTTTTACAACTCGAGCTCCTTCTGATAGTCAATTCTAGTGAGTCACTGTAGTATGCACTGGCGAGAAAGAAGGAGTGCACACTTTTGTACACAATTATACACGTTGATAAGAGAAATAAAGAGAGTGTGACAGTCTAAGAGCGCCGAGAGAGGCACGGAACACAAATTCTTTGCTTTCCTTCCCCTCCTTCTTGGTCCTAATTTCTTAATTTCCGTTTCTCTTCCTCATTTTTACCCCTTTTTCTTACTGTAATCTGTAGAACTCCTTTTTTCTTAAAGAATCATGAATTTGATCCTATTCGGACTTGGTCTTTTGCTTCTGGTAGCCGATGCGACCGCTCAGATTCGAACGAAAGGTGGAACTCTTATTGTAAGTTTGCTTTATATCATCTTTTTTTACCAATAATCTCCTTTTTTCAGGCAAAAGAAGGTGAATCTCTAACTCTCCGGTGTGAGGTGGTAGATGCGTCGGCGGCGATCATTTGGCGTAAAAACGAGGATGTGGTAGCGGTCGACGATGATGTTCTTGACACCTACGGAGGATACGACGTCGCGATGGAAGGCTCGGTAATCGAATTTTCACTTGATTAGAATTAGTGACCCGATTTGCTCTAACTGAGTTCCTTTAGACATCTGTGCTCACCATCAAGAAAGTCGAGCCAATCAACTCGGCGAACTACTCGTGCGCACTTGCCGAGCCGGATGTTAGTGTCACTTTTGTCATCAAGGTTCAAGGTATGTCAAGCCACTCAAGTTTCTGTTGAGAAAATTCTTGAGAAACTAGCAAAAACACGAGAAATTTGGCTAATTTTAGTGGTTTTATGCAAACTAGCTAGTATGTCTCGAAATGTTATGTATAGGGGCTTAGGATTGAGGCGAAATGCGACTTGACTTATCTGAAATGTCCATCACTGTCGTTAACCCCCTTCTTATTATTAGCCATTTGTCATTACACAATGTCCCTTTCCTCTTGCTGCCCCCCCCCCCTTTTCTCACAGCTGTGCCCAAAAATTTGCGATCTTTTTCCAGTCAAACCACTGGTGGTCATCTCCCCGGACACGGGTGTCTACCACGCGAGAGTCGGCGAGAAGAACCTGGTGATCACGTGCCACGTCAAGGAAGGAAACCCCAAGCCAGGAGTCGTTTGGACCAAACAGGTTGGTGTGCGCAATAATCCACGCGTTCTAGATAATTGTTGGGTTGGCTCCATTGACTTGACTCGATTTCATAATCCTATAATAATGGGTTCCGGTTGTAGGCGGCCAAATTTCCGGAGGATATCAAGCGCGAGCACGGCGGCTCCAGAATCATCATCACCGACGTCAAGAAGCACCACGCTGGAAAGTACAATTGTCTGGCTGAGAATATTGCTGGAGTGGACCGTGCTACAATCGATATTCAAGTCGCTGGTAAGAAAGTTTAACCGAAATTTTGATGGTTTTTGAAGTGTGTGCTCTTTGAGTTTGTGCAACCAACTTTTTGATGTAACAACGTAATGTTAGTGATATTGAGAGAGAGAGAGAGAGTTGGATATCAAATCATTAATCACTTTTGCGGTGTGTGACACTGATATCTTGATACATTGAAAGCCAATCCGAGCAAAACAACACACATTGCCATCTAATTTGTTTTTCTCGTTGACGTGACGTGTGCCATCAATCACTCATCTCTTTTTCAGAGCCGCTCCAAGGAGAACGAGAAGGTGAGTATTGCGAAATCGTTCGGTGAAGTGAAATGTCGTGTTGTGTTGTGTTTTGTGAATGGGAACATCTGCTCCGAGACAAGAAATGCATCCGCGCAGAGGTGTTGGAACAACAAAAGAGCGGGCACGGAGGAGGGGCAGCTGCAATTTATGATGTATTTTTGTTTATCGTGACCATCCTCCTTGCCCATTTACAGTAGGATATTAAAATTAAAATTAATCCTGTAACCGAAAAATAGAAGAGTCAATAGGCTAGAGACTAATTGCTGAGGGGGGATTTAGAAGATTTAGGTTTAGAGCTCCCCAAAGATATTGTGGGCCAACAGATGGTTGATCGAATAGGATCGAATAGGTGACAGTTTGTGCGCGTGCCGGGGACCGATTGAGATTGACAAAATGATGTGCATTTGCGATTATCCGATCCAACACGCCAGACCATATGGGTGGGAAACCCGAAAAAAGATGCCTATGTCTCTGTCTGGTCTACTAGCACATTTTTGGTTTAAAAGGATCTAGGGGAACACATTAAATGTTTGAAAACCTGAATTTCAACTTCATTCGCCCAAAAAAAGGTTTCATCTTCCGTTCAAACTACATGTATAACCAAACCAACACCTCTTTGGTTCAGTTCAGTACTCTGATCTCTTTAAAAAACGATGGTACTTCAGTTGGATCAGTTCCCCTCACCTGGGCCCGAATTTCTTTCCCCCAATTCCTATAAAAGCTCTCTATTTTCAGAGAAACCATGGGTGAAGAACGAGGATGCGTTCATTCCAGTCCGCAAGGGCCAAAACGCCTCATTTTGGTGTACTTATGACGGAACTCCAGTGCCGCAAGTTGAGTGGCTCTTCAATGGATACAAGATTAACGTATGTCACGCAATGCAATGCCCCTTTCAATAATGATGATGAATAATGACGGCATCTTTCAGTTCAATGACGGAAAGTTCAAGCTGACCTCGGAGACGGCTCAACGTCTCAACGGCTACAGCAAATCGACGCTCACTGTCGGCGACATTTCTGAAGAGGCGTTCGGCGACTACGCGTGCCGCATTTCCAACAAACTTGGATCTGTGACCGCTGTGGTGCACGTTAGTGGTGCGTGATGACATTTTGTTGATGTGTATGGAGGGGGGTGTAGTAATTGGCAATCATTTTCTCCATGTCGAGTCAGGAAGAGGAAGACATGTCAGGAATAATTCACCTGCGAGCACCTTATTATTCGCACCAGGCTCCTCGAGCTGAGCCACCTTTTGAATGAGCCGGCGGCGACAAATTTACATAATGAATTAGTACCGGAGCAAACGGGGGGAAACGAAAAGGGAAAGGGGATAGGAAACACAAGGTGACTTACATGAGGAAAATATGTAATTGGTTCGGTTTTCAGGAAGACCAGGTCCGCCACAACTCACTCTGGACGGAACCGAACTCTCGTGGACTGTCAGAACCTACGACAAACTTTTGGAGTATCAACTGTGTCACAGACTCGAGAACGCCGATCACTTTCTGCCAGAGGATTGCGATAGTGTTCGTGTGAAGAAGAGCGACAATAATGGAGATGACAAGTGGAGCCATACTGTGGATCTGACCAACTACCTGCAGCAGGGACCAAAGTATCATGTGCAGTTGAAGGCCCGAAACGGTCTTGGATGGGGAAGCATGGCTAAAGACGCGCTGGCTGTTGAGTTGCAGCGTGTGGAGAAAGGTGAGCTTCAAAGTTCCCCGAGATTTTTTCCAAGGCTTGTCTAGGCTTTTTGGAAGCCTGCCGAGGCCTGAACTACTGATCCACTTGCAATAATCCGGTAGCACCCTAACTTTTCAGGCTTCTTGGTTGAAGTATTATCTTGAATCCATGTTTCAGACCGATATGATTATTTACTCTCGAGATATTAGGATCAGAGCATGTAAAGGCAGTTTTTTGCAAAAATTTCGTTCTTTTTGGCCTGATATCCACATATCTCGAGACCAGATAATCCGGTCTGAATCTTGAACCAAATCTATTTCAATCCAGGTCCGAGAAGTCTACAAAGCTTAGGCCCGATCGGATTATTGTAACTGGGCAATAGTTCAGTCTCTTTCTGCTCAATTCAGAGTTTTTCCATAAACATTATTGTTTTTTCAGAAGAAATCAAAGGATCTCCCATCATTTCCGCCATATCCTCGATTCTGGTCACTATCCTCGCCATCAATCTTTTCTAAATCCTCTCCATCACGTTTTCTGTGGTGCCCCTACCTCTGTCTCTATGCAAAGATTTGCCATGTCTGACTTCTAGATCACAGGGTGTGTCGGTCGAAAGTATGGTTTTTTCTTTTCCTGCATTTTTTGCATTTTCCCTCCCCCCCCCCTCAAATCCATTTTCACTCACAGTTTCCTTTCGAAACTGTGAGCCGGTGTTCCATTCTTCTCGCCCTCCCCTTTCTTTCGTTTTTCTGTCACTTTTCCTATCACTTTTCACTTTTCTTCCCTCTTTCCTTTTTTGAAAACCTACTTTATGTGATCCTGCCTTCCACTCACTCCTTTTAACTGTTGAATTGAATCGATAATCTGAAATCTGAAATCTAAAATCTGAAAACAGTACCTACAGATTTTCGTTAGAGTTCCCCTCCCTCCTTTCTCTCCCAATCCACTTTATCTACTCGGTGCGTTCATCCAGAATGTTGTCAGTTTTTTGTGTCCCCAATTTTCATTAATTATATTATATTATTATGCGTATACAAATTTTTGAATGTTTCATTAACCTGAAACCTGATCTCAATGATGTTTCTCTTTCTCCATTTGAACAAGAGAGAGAGAGAGAGAGAGTGACGTACAAAGTTCATCCAATCTTTTTTGCAGAAGCAGACATTTAATCGTCTTCAAGCCGACGATAGACAGTCTGCGGAACCCCTCGGACTGTAAAAATGCAAAAAAAATGAAGGCGTCGAAGAAATTTCGGGTGTGAAGTTGTCTAAAGTCGAAGATGTGTGTACTTTACGAACCGGTTCTCACGTGAACTCTTGACAATTTTTATCGCGTTTCGTTTCAAATTGAATTCGATTCAATTCGGTCTTGGTCAAACTTGACCTCCTCAACCGACGCATCAAAAAATGATTCTTTGTGTTCTCTGAATTGCGTAGTTAGCCGGAACAAACCCCTTTACGGGTTGGTCACACCGTTTCCATTGTGATGATAACAAAAAGAAGAAGTAAAAAGAAAACTATGCGTTTATTCATATACGCTGTAATCCCACTCGCTTTCCTTTTACACACTGGGTAATAAGGGTGTGTGTGTGTCAGTGTTATCATTGATATTATACGTACATCTTCTAATAGCGAAAATGAAAGTGAGATAATATAATTCAAAAAAGGAATGTCAGTGGTTGACACAATAGATATAAAGGGATTGTGTTCAATGCTTTAGTTTCAATTTTCCTAAACAAGTTTCTGTGGGACTAGTTGGAATGATGCCAAAACCTTGTTGGCACTGATCATTGTTTAAACTGGATTGATGTTCGATTAGATCAGAAATGAGAAGTGAAAAGTCAGAAAAAGATCAGAACACACATTACACGAATCCGAAATCTTACAAAATCAAATCACAAATTGGTCATATAAGCCTATGTTCGAAGGGAAGAAAAAGTGACATCTGATCAATGAAACACGCGACTTTGAAAGGTACATTATGACCTCTATAACTGAAATACAGAATGTTCAAGATGTACTCAACGTTAATACGTACTAATCGGATTTTAACATCACTGAATGACCCTATCTATGAAAGGAAGAGGTGTTTCGAAGTTGCTCAGACTGCCTGCTATTTTGCAGCAAAAATTTCATTTGTGCTGAAAGTCAACGAATTTCCACTGCGCAACCCTTTGAGAACAATGCCAAAAAAAGGCAAAAATTTTGACCCAGGCAGGGATCGAACCTGCAATCTTCTGATTAGAAGTCAGACGCCTTATCCATTAGGCCACAAGGCCACGAGACTCTCCGCTGCGTTTTCGCGACAAATACCAACCACTCACTCGGCAGTTCTCTCCGCTCGCTCCCCTTTCTCTTTTCTTCTCCGTCGTCTCTGACAGCGGCCGCCGAGCGGAGGGGCGGCAAACAGAGGCAGGAACAAGTTGAAAAATGGGGCACCGGAACCACATGGGGACTGGGGAAGAGAAGTAGCGATATTGTGTTGTTTTTGGAGAATTTGGGGGAAACATTGTGAATAAACTGAATGAGAACGAACATAGAAGTTTGTTCCGGTGCTATGACCGTAAATTTTGGGAACGTGATTGATTGGAATGTGAAGAAATGTGAAGAAGCAATAACCCAAAAACTTTTGGCTTCTCACTGGTTTTATCGAACTTGCAATCTTATGATTAGACACCTTATCCATTAGGCAACAAATCGACACTTCCGCAGTGGTCATTTCGGAAAGATAATGCACGCCTTCTCCGGCGTCGCATTCATATCGCTCTGAAATGAGTCTCGCAGTAGTTATCTCACTTCGCTTCTCTCTTTCCGTTTTGCTTTTCTCTTTGTTTCCCATTCAGTATCAATCGAAAACAACAATGAATGGCTGCAACTGATAAAGTTCGAATTCCAGAATGAAGTAAATGAAAGTTATAGGGCGATGTTGTATGTCCGTCTTTGTTTTAAGAACCTATTCAACTTTCACTTGCGAATTGAATGAATTTACCGCAGCCTTTCCCACTCTCTCTTTCTCTTTCTCATTCTCTCTCTAACCGTGACCCTTCTCATTGCCACCATCATCATCAGAAAAGCGATTTTGTAACGCCTTCTTGAAAAGTGGGCGGTGTCACCCGGACGATGCCATCAAAGATGAGACAGGTAGGAAGAGGACATTTGGAAAACCGCGGGGCATCGCCAGCAGCAGGACGATATCATCCATCTCTCTCCTCGTTTCCATTTCGGACGGCATACTTTTCAAACAACTTCTTCAATGACTCGATTAATCGCTGTGGTCATCCTCGCACTTCTTGCTGGTCAGTTTGGGACGGTAATGTTGTATTTTCTTAACGTCCTGGAAGTCATCCTACTCGTACTTTACTAAAAATAAACTTCTGAAACATTTTTTCTGGGTTGTATATCAGTTCCCCGTTAATTAAAATAACTTACCCCTACCTACTTCCTTTTTAACGGGCCCCGGGCTATAAATCGTCCCCACCTCCTTTCTTAAAACTTTGCAAGCTTTGTAATAACAGCGACTTGACCCTATCATATTTTAGTGTCTGTGTCCGCGACACCCTGCACGTTTGTCACGAACGGACAGCAAATCACCTACGGAGTACGTGGCAGTACCATTCACTTCCGTGTCGTCCTCACCGGAATCGCGCCAAATGGCTCCGGATGGACAGCGATCGGGTTCGGTAACAGCATGGTGGGTGTAATTTTTTCGTCTTTTGTCTGCCATGTCCAGTGGCACGTCGTAAAGTGGTCATGAAAAAAAGAAAAAGAAGGAGATGGAGAGAGACACGCGTTCAGTCATCATCATAGATAATAGTGTCAAGAAAAAGGCAAAAATAAGACAATGAAGCACCGTCTTTTGACCTTTCATACATCATTGAACCAAAACCATTTTAGAAAGCGTTTTGTTTTAGAGCGATCAATTCCATTTCATTCTGTTCTCGTTTACTTTACAACAGGCACCGACCTAAATACACTAACCTATCCCTGATTCGATCTAATTTGGACTAAGAGACCAATTAACGGGCTGGCAAACAGAAACGAATAAAAAGAAGAAGATAGAAAGAGAAGAAAAGTAGAGTCGAGTCAAGTTCAGAAAGTTTCGTTGTGATTCGGTACACTTTACAGTTCTCTGGTCTCGATGTGATCGTGGTTCGTGTCCTGAATGGAAGAGTGATTGTCACCGACGAGTTTGTCCGTGGATTCCAGTCACCTCAACCGGATAGGGTAGGCATTGTGAACTTTTACTTGACCAAATTATATTGTAGATCAACAATGTGCAAGTGTACGGGCTCCGCTATGAGAATGGAGTTGTGGTGGCCTCCTTCTCCCGATCTGTTTTCTCGACCGAACAACAAGATGCCAACCTCTCGGGATGCTCGCCATGGAAGGTACAGTAGCCTGTCAATGACTATTTCAAATTGAAAACATAATTTCAGTTCTCGGTCGGTATGAATGGGATGAGTCCCCAAGGTCATTTGTTCCATCACGCGCAAACGCCAGTGCATCGTGTGGTGTGCATCAATCAATGCACCGTCTAAATTCTACTCAATTCCACCTGTCCTGTCGTCCCTTTGATCTCGCTCCTTCAACCCGCGCACCAAGATATTCAACTGCTCTCCTACCCCCTCCCGCGATTATCCCGTTTCTCTGTGTGTCTTGATCTTAATCATCTCTGATTTCGCCTTTTTTCTCTGTAAAAAAATGAATAGAAGCTTTCACAATCCGGATTTCGCATTATTTTGAGACTTTATTTCGATTAGGGTGGGCGATGGCTGATAGGTGTCATATGGGAGAAGGAAGAGATCGCGAAACAAGACACAAAACCCGGCGCCATCATAAGAAGATATCGGATGGAAATAGGGATTGAGAAATGTATCAGATCGGACAATGATACATATTGATGGAAGGATCAGAAATGATGATAGAGGAACTAACATTTTTGGTCACTTTGGGTACTGACACCGGGTATTAAACTTTGGAAGTTAAAGAAGAGAATTATATAACTATGTATTACTACAAATCCCAACTGAACAAATGATGCTTGATGAGCATGTCGGTGACTCCCTGCTTCAATGGTTCATCTCCGTTCTGTTTATTGTCTTGGGACGAAGACACAACTGTCGACAATATCTTCTTCTTCTGGCTTGTTAGCAACTGCAATAAAAAAAAGGTAATTGCCAGCAAACTACGCAAACTGTCTTACCCCATTCACAAACTTCCGCTTCTTCTTATCAATTCCCTCAATCTCGAACGACATGCCGAGGTTGAACGAAAATTGGCTTAGCAGTCGGAGGTCACACTTGATCTGGCGCCAGGCGGGCGATCTGATGAAAGCCCACGAGTGGTAGTACTTGTTCCTTATGTGTTCGTGTTGTGTGGCGGAACACAGAAGGTCGAACCAAAGGTGAATGCATTGTTCATTGACCCCGACTACGAGAAGGCTTCTGAAAAGAAGAAAAACGCTAGATTGAGAACATTTTGAATTAGTTGAATACCTCAACTTTACATCAGAGTGCGCCGACACGGCGTTATGCGAATCATTTATCAATTGAACGGATCGGAAGAGTAGTTCTTCGGGTGTCAGGATCTGCAAATGTGTAAAGTGTGGCGTCTCGAAGATTGGTTGACTGATGGCACTCGCGCCGCATATATGTACGCCCTCTCGGCCGACATACACTCGTGGCCTTGTGGCCTAATGGATAAGGCGTCTGACTTCTAATCAGAAGATTGCAGGTTCGACCCCTGCCTGGGTCAAAATTTTTTGCCTTTTTTCGACATTGTTCACAACGGGTTATCCAGTAGTAATGCCTAAATTTTCAACACTAACAAAAATTCTTTGGCGCAGAATAACAGGATCTATGGGTCATACATTTTTCGAAAAAAACTCACTTTTCCATCCTCATCCAGATTGAAAGTGTTACACAAAGTCAGCCTCGAGTAGACCGAGTTGAAATTCTTCTCAACAGAATAGTATGCAATGTCCTCGATGAAACTCCACGGATGATAGGCCATCGCAGAATACATAACGTTCTCTCGTATTCCGTGGTCCATTATTTGCCGGAAGCTATTAGCTAATCGACCTCGTATGTACTCGGTGATCTCCGGCGACACGGCCTCATCTCCATAAATGGTGTAGCTTTTGCCGCGCTCGTCGACCACTTCCACAAATTTTGCCGGGAACCACCCGCGTAATCCATTCACTTCGCCAACCCAGCAGTGCTCGTCTTTCTCACTAATTATTGTGATGATGTCGTTTTTTCTGGAAAAATGAATGTGATGAACAGAAAATCTTGGGGTACCTTACCTGAAGCCAAGTTCGTTTTCCTCTTCTCTTGCAAAATCCAGCAGAGCCCTTGCTCGTTTAGCTCCAACTCGCCGGCCTTTAAGGTAGTTCCCAATGTCTTTGTTATGACTCTCGGGACTATAATCTGCCTGAAATCGAACAATCTTTATGAAAACCGTTATTCCAGTTGTGAAATACCTGAGTGCAGACATTCAATTCCATTTTCTCATCACATGAGATGAAATAACGGCAGATTTGGAGCACTGACTCTTTCAAATCCACCAAAATCTCGGTTTGACGGATGTTCTTGCTTTTCGGGTCGTTGCCGGACTGAAAACTTGAAAATATAGAAGTGACACACAAGAAAAAAAAAACTCACATCGTCTTTAGAACTGAAAATCTGCTTGATGATCGACTTGGATCTAGTCAGTTTTCTTCTCTGAGTGGTTTGTTTCGGCAGGTTAGTATCTGTCGAAATATTCACAATCATTCCCTGATCTGCCATCAGAACTGCTTGATGTTTCTTCCGAAGTTCCGAAATGAGGTGGTCAGTGATGGTGAACTCAAATGAGCCCATATATTCAATCACTTTCTCCACTTCGGTCACAGATGATGGAAGTTGACTCAGCGCTGTGAAAATGTCCGCTGAAGATTGAGTGGTGTTCGCAATTTCAACAATTTCCTCCTCCTTCATCTTCAGAATCGAGATAATAACCTGAAAATGACAAAAATTTCACACGTGGTTCAGTTTTCATAGACTCACCCGAAAGATGTTCACACTTCCAGAGTAAAATATAAAGTCCCAAACTCTCAAAAGTACTCTTGTACGGAACACGGAACCGAACAAAGTTAGTAGCCAATTGACGGTCAGCAGAGAGATCTGAAAGTTTGAAAAAAAAACACTTTTGAAACACGAACAATGAATTCAAACCTACCTCAACTTCATGATCTTCTAATGCTTTGTTCAAATCAGGAACATGGCACCTCATGAGGTGTCTGGATACCCTTTCATCCGCTTGTAAACCCAGAAGAGTTTGCGTGTAAAAGTTGGGCGGGAGGATGTCTTCGATCAATGCGGTCATCATCCAAAATGTGGTCTCTTCAGAGCAGTAGAGAAGGAGCGAGGCTACTAGGACACCTGCAAATTGGAAGTGTTTAGGTGAAACTGACTACTAGAGATCTTTAGTCAAAATGAACGAACCCATTCCTTGACAATATCCCAAATCCGGATAGATGAAAGCGACCGACTTCAGAATCCTTCGCAATGCCTCAATCCCCTCCGAATTCTTCTTCCAAAAACAAATATTATTCGGCAAAGTTCTCAACAAGTCCCTCTCGATTTGAACCCCTAAAAGTCATGCGAATACATGTCTCCCATTCTGGGCTCTCCCCACCAATCGACGGCTTATCCTGTGCACATTGCCGCAAGACACTCTCATACGTGTATTTGGCGTCTTTCTGCTTTTTGGTGGCACCGGAAAGACGGGGCCAAAGGAAGGGACGCATCGAATGCGGAATGCCGCCTTCTTTCAACAGCTCCTCAAATCTATCCGTTTTGAGCTCCGGGCCCAAAATGTGCGACCACAAGACGTCGTCCTTCACTTCCTTGTGCACATCTTGCAAATACGAGATGAGCTTCATTCTGAAAGCGGCTCATCTCGATTATGTGGCGGATAAAATAGAACTGCTCACTTGTGCGCACTATTCTCAACCGGTGAAGCGGATAATTGTTGCTGCTTTTGTTCGGATGACGTCATGCCCTCGTCTGGCTCGACTTTCTGATCCTCATCATCTTCTTGACGTCGAAATCCAAATTCATCAAAACTAAATAAGGTTGTGAAAAAGGGGGAGACAAAAAGAACTCACTAGTCATGAGGGTCTTCTATGTAAATCGGCAACATTGTCTTGTTGATAGCAGAAAATGGTTTTCCGTCAAGTTCAAAGAAGGATGCATGGATGGGTTGGTCTTTCTGAAGTTTTTACCGTTTCCAAACATTGCCCTTATCATAAATATTGGTGTCAAACCACATGATAACAAACAGACACACGGTAAATCACATTATTCTTCTAAAAAAAATTCAGAATTGTGTATGGCGTCACCTCTTTAGTATGCTCGGCGATCTTCCTAGCAATGGGCAAGTCGTCGTCATCGTCCATAACCACGTCCGCATACTTTGCATCTTTGCCTGAACGCAACAAAAACATGTAAAAATCTCCCAAACATACATACATATTCCATCTAATTGCACGTATGAAACTCATGGCTCACCTTTCTTATATTTTGCCATTATCTTCAAAAAAAAAGAAGTTTCGACAGCAAAGAGAGAAAAAGAGTGCAGACGAAAGAGTGTGTAGTTGTGAGTGTGTCGAAGGGAAGGGTGCCTCTCGAATGAGCGGAGGGAGTGGAGCACGACTGGAATGGGCAGAAGACGGCAAGAAGAGAGGGAGAGGGAGAGGGTGTGAGAGTTGAAACGGAAGAGAAAGATGAGGAGAGAGACCGAGTAAAGAGATGCAGATGAGGAGAAGGGTTGGGGAGCTCCGCGAGCACCATGAATAGCGTCCGTGCCCAACGAGTAAGCGTCGCATTTCCAGGGCATTTAGGGGTTCTAATCGCTTAACGAGTTTTGGGTTTAATGTTTGCTTTTGAAAGAAATTGCTGTTATTGAACTTTTTTTGAAGGAAAAAGAGTTCAAAAGGATTTTTTTTGACTGATGATTACCGGTTTTGGCATTTGTAAACCTTCTCGCACCTATTTCTTTAGTAAACGATCCAATTGGTCTAAAACTCGGATCAAAGATATTTAAATCCAATGTATATTGCAATCTGATCTCTCGTACCACTATGTGTTTCAGTATAAACGCCATTAAGTAACTAAATAAGATACAAAGGCAAACATGTTCCGTTGGAAGAGTGAAAATTGTCAGAATTATGTTTTCTTATGACATTTTCAGCGATTCGGAACATTGAAAAATGCAAAAAAGTGTCGACCTAGGCAGGGATCGAACCTGCAATCTTCTGATTAGGAGTCAGACGCCTTATCCATTAGGCCACAAGGCCCGCTTTTCAGCAGCTTCCGGTTTTAAAAGATGTCGCGCGCCCTCCTTGGCTTTGCTTACTTATCTGCCTGAAATTGAAGTTACCGAGTTCATTTCTGATATGGATTCGTCACAACACAATCAAAACAAATAATTTACTCTGGCCAATCCGTAAAATCTGACTATACAAAGTACAAGGTCGTCGAAGAAAATAAAGCGTTAACAATGACGAAACGCCTGTGAAAAATCAATGAGAAGGTCACGTTACCCGGGTCATGTTTGTGAATAACAACACTGAAAATAGAACATCGGTCACAAAACTTGAATTATGAGGTCATGTTGATATAAATTATTTCGCAACTTCCAAACATTTTGATCGGCGGTCCAAAGTAATTGACGCCGGCGCTCACATAGACGTACGTGTCCGTGGTCTTGTCGTAGTAGCGCCCTCTGGAACAGAAACAGATTGGGGTTCGAATTCTCAGTGGGAAACACATAGTTATGACTTTTTGGCGCAGGCCGTGATAACCAGTCAGAAATACAAAATCATGCAGAAAAGGTTTGCCTCAGCTAGGCTCATTTGGGCAGTAGACATTTTTATCACGGCCCGGCCAGGTTTGTGACAACTATGGGGAAAACTGTTTACCTGACAAATGCGTTAGCCAGATGCACAATTGGCACGAACGGGTACATTTGTCCTCCGTGGGTGTGTCCGGACAGAATCAGATTCACCTTCTGACTCAAATCCCGATCGTTGAGCACAATTTTGGCGGCGTTTGGCTGATGGGCTAGAAGGACATTGGTAGAGTCCGAGTCGCAGGTGGAGAGCGCCTTCTTCAGGTCCATTCCATGTCCGGCGACGTGAGCACGAAGAGCAAAGAGGTCGTCGGCTCCGGCCATGCACAGCTTCTGACCGTTTACTATTTTGTGTTTGTTCTGGTTGTGAAGAATCTGAAATAAACAAAGTTGGGTGAAATTCGACGAAAATATGAGAATGTTACCGTAATATTGCAGTTCTCCAAGAACCAGAACCATTCGGTGACGTTTCCGTGCATGTACTCGTGGTTTCCTGTAACACATGGCTTTTCTTGAATGGAAAGTAGTCTTCTTCGTTCTCGCGACGCTTAGAAACGATGTTTTGGATCAAACTTCCATAGAACTGCTTGGATCCGCTAAACACGGTTCCGAAACGCTCAGGAGTCAAATTTGTGACCGAAGAAACGTACCTGTAGCAAAGTAGACACCTCCCGGCGCCTTTAAGTCACACAATGGCTCCGCCGCTCCGTGGAAATCACGCACAAGTCCGTCGGCGAGATCTCCAGCGATTGCGATGATATCTGGAAAGCAAAACGTTCAGAACTCGAGCAACGAAAATTTAAGTCAAATATTTGACTTACATTTCAGTGGATAGCTATAAAACGTTCAGAATTCGAACCAATTGTTTGATGAATATGTTCGAACGCTTACCAGGTTTCAGATCATTCGTCATGTCCACAATCCTTCGAATCCTCGTGCGTCCGACTGTTGGTCCGATGTGCACATCCGATAACAGAACAATCGAGACATCGGAACCACTGTTGGAATCGAACTTCTGAAAAAATTGCGTATTTTTCTCAATATCAACGTCATTTTTCTGTTTATCGATCAAAGAAACCCTTGCTCACTGGCCTGTACGTTATTTTTGTGGCTTTTCCCATTTGTGGTTCAAAGTGTCTTCAGAATAGGGTTTAGATGAGCAGAATATGCTGGACACCTCATGGCAGAGTAAACAATAAAGCACAAAGTTGTGTGCTCTCACTGCCTCATCGATCGGACTGACACTTTGCTTTATTTCAAAGAACACTTCGCTGTTATCTATCGGAAAAGTTGACCAAACACTAACTTTCATCGGAATACTAGTCTTTCTAACGACTGGATCCGTGTGAGTGGTGTACAATCCTCCGAGCATGAACAAGAACCCGAGTATGACGGCCATGAAGATGTATTGACTGCGCGTTTCATGGAAGTAGCTGAAAATAGCAGTTTTTCGGTAATCTCTGCTGGCTCCGACAAAAAGTCGATGAGAAAAACTCACGAGTGAACCGAGTTGGGGGTAACTTTGTTGTGAATAACTCTCGTGGAGTAGTAGATGATGTCGACAATGACTAGGAAAATGAGGATGTGAGCATAGGCGGCAATGAAACTGAGACTTGTGACGGCAATGACATTTGGCTCCGGACCTGCAATCATTGCAGAGTTTTTATGTGTTCTGGCCAAGACGTGGGCCTTTCTAATGATGAACTTTTGATCGATTTGCATTTTTTCAATCAAGCCCAAACTTTGGAATATCTTGGGTCCAATTTTCAGTCTGATCAGTTCTCCAATGCATTCGACGTAGCCTATGTCTGGTCACGACTTCCCTACAACTTTCAATCAGCATTCCCTCATTCCCACCACAATTTCACACAGTTTGCATAAAAATTCTGACGCCTGTTGTCAACTGTTCGTTAATTCCGACGCGTCATTATGCATATTCCCACGTTTCGTCTGTTGTTTTTCAATGTAAAAACCACTCACCCAGCAGGATGTAGTAGAAAAATAGAGCAATGTGGGAGAGGAAGAGGAAGAGGAGCATCAGTGCTTGGGCGACGTCCTGGAGACAGAGTAGACGGAGTCGTCGGTTGCCAACTGGGTTCGGGTTTGGGAATTTAGTCCTGAAACGGTTTTTGAGGGTTGCAAGTATGAAAAACACTCACGTGATGGCAAAGTTGACCCGTTTCCACATGTAGTAAGAGGCCACCAACATGGCGGTAGACGTGATGAGTATGGCGTGCAACCGGACCAATCGATGGTGTGCTACCCCGTCCGTCGACTTGCGAGCGATCGCCATGGATAGATGGAGTAGAAAGATGAATAATAGGCCTATCCGTACTTTTATGTTCATTTCCTGAAAGAAAAAGTTGTGTTAATTAGTTATCTAATGATAAATTGTAAGAAAAAAATGAAAAATGACGCGGGGCACCGAATCTGGGCGACAGTTTTATACGTGTCATCGTTTGACACAAACGGCGAAGCGATAAGAAGAAGTAGAAGAAGGGCTGGTCACAAAACGCATCGCATCGCGAAGAAAAGTTGTGTCCAAAAGGACGGAGGTGCGCGAGAGGAGTGTTTGTTCCGTTGGTCTGGTCACACACGGTGAGTCAACAATGCGTCAGCAAACGAGCCTTGCCCCTTTCGAGCCGCATTGGCCCACAATTAGGAGGAGGACACAGTGTGGTCCGACGGTGAACGGATTGGCGGCGAGAAAAACGGAGAAAAAGAATAAGAACTCACTGAAAATGAACAGGAACACTTGGAACACGTCATCACCTGAAATTTGATAACTTTTGTTCGAGGTTAGTTGCGAAATCGGCAGAGAAACGCGTGAAATCAGAGGACAAAGTGTTGGAGAGCGTTTGAACAGAACATTTACACTGGGATACAACATTTTCACTGCAAAATCTCTGCTCAGCGCTAAAAAATCACCGCTTTGTTGATCTATCACTCAAAATTTTACGAAAAAAGGTTTTCAGTTAGTATGAGTGACTTGTTTTTTTACACTTGGTAAGATAGGTGAAGAAAAAGAAGAAGAAGAAGAAGAAGGAAAGGGAGAAAACGTGTTTTTGTGTTCAAATAGGAAAACAATGTGTAAAGATCTTGATGAATCCCGGTCAAAGTTCTAGAAAGATTGTCAGAAAAATACAGCGGGAAAAAGAACTATGATCCCGCCGGTTTTTCCGATTCTTTTCCGATTCACGATGACACAAAATTTGACACAAATATTCACACGATGACAAACTTGGCGGTGACACGGCGTCGGAAAAAAGTTCATGGAAAGTTCAGAGAACCCAGTTTTTGAAAAAAAAACAACAACAAAAAAGCAAAGAAACAAACGTTTTTCAGGCAGGAAATGAAATGAATTGAGTTAGAGTTGGAAGCGACCACGACCACTTGGAGGATATTGGAAACGAAGCGCTGCACATCGTCCATTTCGATTCCATCCCCCCCCCCCCAAAACACACTAAATAGAATTGTTTTTCCGAGGGGTTTTCCGTTGATGGGTCTACGGAGAATTAGGAGAACAGTAGTGGGAGGGCAGATGCGGAGGAGGGGGGGAAGAGCCCGTGAGAAATAGAAATGAAATTCATGGGCCGACCAGATGGTGGTCTTTTAGTGCTAACCTTCTTTTTTTTGTTGTGAATTATGCATACTTCTGTTCCGAACCTTGTCAAACCTACATTCCTCGCCCCTTCTTGCTGGTTTCCTTTCAATTTCTTCCACGTTTTCCAGAACAGATGCATTTTTTGTTATTCTATGATACTGATCTTCATAAGGTCTCCGATGAGATGAAGCCAAATATTTTTACGTTGGTGGTCATGCGAAATTCCATGTTTTTTCAAGTTAATGAACACGCACGTCAGATTTTGAGATCAAGTGTTGCTTTGAAAAACTGAAAATCATAGTTCAAAGCATTTGAAAAGAACGCTTTATGGTTATCATTCTGAAAACTTTGTCTAGAAGATTTTGCAGGTATCTGATGCGAAGTCAAGTGCATTCATGTGAAAATCACCCCTAGAATAGCTCCTTTTTTCGAAAACTCATCATACACCAATCAAAAACCCTCAACTTTTTTCGTGACAAGTCACCTGACCCACCTTTCTCGATTCGTCTAGACTAGTCAAAAATTAAAGGATTTGTCGTCTTCTCGGGTTCATTCCACATGATGATGTTTTGTTTTGCCGCTGGTTTTTTGCTGTTTTCTGACCTGTTGTCAGAGAGTACGCAAGTACAAAGTCTGTTTCTCGTTAGCCACACCAGAAATCAAAAAATGTTCCCCAAATGACGCCCAGGCTTTTCGGACTTGGATTCAAGTATCTTGGGTCTATGATTCAGACCGATGTGATCATCTGGCCCCGAGATATAGGGATCAAAAGGAGGAGAAGTTGGGTTTTTGCGAAAATTTCGACATTTCGACCTCCAACACGCATTCTGAATCTTGTACCCACTTGAATTCAAGTCCAAGAGGCGCTTGCAATGTTTGGGTCCGTAAAACATACAACAACTGGCTCAGAAGTTCAATTCACGTTTTGTAGTGTATCAAAAAACGGAAATGATCATTCAATTTTATTGCAATCCAGAAATCTGTGCAAACATCTACCAAATACCAATCGTGCCCATCGTGCACAAAACTGCCATTGTTTTCCAATATTTTCCAATATTTTTGTGTGGTAACAAGGCATCTAGTTACTATCCAGTCAGTATTTGTTGTTCTGTTGATATTTGCCGCCGGGTCTACCACCCCGAGAGTTTTGCATTTGTTTTTTTTTGGTTAAAAACACAGACTTCGGGCCGGTCGATCAGGCCGGCCCGTAATCTCGCAAGTCTGGTTGAAAAGTGTGGTAGATAAATTCTGGTGTCGAAGAGCAAAAAGCAATTGTTTTGCAGAGATAAAAGCGAAAAGAGATCTTTTTCTACCAATTTATCTCTATCACTTCTCATCTCACCAACTTTTCTATCTCCTCCACTTTCTTCCCCCCCCCCTGTCTCACCCCATTTCTTCAAAGGATGATCATTCGTTGTGTGAGATTTTTGAAAGTTTTTTTTGTGGTGTTAGGCTCTGGGTTTTTTGAAAGGTCCTTTAGTTTCCAAATGTCCGGTTTCGCTTCCGCAGAGTACCTAGAAGTTACAGATGCGATTGGATTGCAAAAGGTTTTCTAGCTACTAAGAATCAGTCAGTTGCAAGACTTCCTTTAGTTGAAAAACGTCCCTCAGATGCAAATCGGCCGGTTTCTGCCGATCAAACCTAAATTGTAGTTATACTGGCTCTCCCGCAGAACAATTCGTTTCCAAGATATAGATACAGATGTCGAACACAAAGCGAATAGAGTTACGACTCGAATTTTTCACTCACCCGCTCGCCGTGAATCCAGATTTTTAGTGTACACATCATCAATTCATATGGTCCTTCTCCTCGATTCACACATCCCCCTCCCTTTCTTCCCTAGCAACTTTTCATCTTGCCTAACGAGCCAGATGTGTCATCTGCATTCTGTTCCCCACTTCTCACATGTTTTCTCACTCTTTTTTGCAAAATTTGTTACTTGCTTTGGAGGAAAATCAAATATTCTCGTGAAATATTCATGTTTTGTGTGGTGAGGTGAGAGGCGTATGACAACAGAAAATGAGGGGAAAGGGTCATCCTACACGTTTTTTGGTGCAAGGTCTTTGAGTTGGATGTGAACAGCTTGAGTTATGCCAGGATTACAGGCTCAAAAACAGAAATGAACTCTTTGTATTAGCTTTCAAAAAAATTAGATTGGCAAATGAAATCCCTGCGAACATGTCCTCACTTCTTTCCGCTTCCCCGGGGATAAGCATGGACGAATGTGCATCAGTTTTAGACACCGAAAAAAAGAAGAAAAGCCCTTTGCATCGTCCTCTTCCACACACGTTTTTCTGTTTCGTTTTCATTCTGCAAATGCATCCCAGGCGAGGGGCTATCTGGTCAGCCAGAGTGACCATTCCACTCTATTTTTATTCAACGCAAAGTCTACGCGCGTTGGTCCCACCACGCTTTCTCATTTTGAAGTGCATTGAACTATTGGAGCACGTGAAGCGAGACCGGAAATTTTTGAGGTTGGTAGGTTTAGTTCCACGAAAACACCCACTTTTTCCGGAAGATTGTTATGGGGGATATGAAGAAACGATTTTGTTTTCTTTTGTTTCATTTTGAGGTTTCATAAACTCGTTTTCTCTTCAAAAGTGTTCTTCTCTGTAGGAGGAAAAGTTAGGAATCTTTTGAACTGCAATTTTTGTATTATAGAATGTGAAGAATGTCCTCTTCCGCTCTTCTTCCTCCCAAAACCATTCCTCTGACATCACCATCATGTCAAAAGTTTGCTTTTCTTCCCTCCCCCTTATCACTTTTCCAATTATTGATAGTCCTCGTGTTATCAGTGAAAGCGCGCCAACAGTTTTTAGTAACATCATCCCTCATTTCGATTGACTTTTTTGCTCTTGCTCTAGCTCCTAACCCCTAGTGGTTTCACAGAGTCCTAGTTTATTGTTTGCGAGGAATCTCTCTCCATAACTCTCCTTCTTCTCCCACATACTCTGAAAATAATAGAAAACCAAACCGCTTATGAAATGGCGGCTAATTGTGACGAGATGGCATTCACCCCTTTCGCTCCTTCATCACACCCCCTTTTGTTGTTCCATGTTCACTTTTATGGCTAGAACTTTTTCTTTGTGATGTTTGAGCTTTGATACTAATCGAAGAACTTCCATTGTATGATTCCGCGCTGTTTCGAGCCCCTAAAAGTCATTAAATTTCAGTGGAACTTTCTAGAATCCGCCTTCGCCAACTTTGTGAAACTAAGAATCCTCGACTTTCGATATTATCGGAACAAAGATTCGCTCTACCTTTGAACCCCCCGATCTGAAAATGAGCGAATTGAGCATTTTGTTTTCATTTCGGTTTTTGAACATCTCTGCCTCACATGTTACTTTCGCATTCCATCCATCCTTTCCCTATTCTCTTGTGACGTTTCTACTCTCTTGAGCAAAAATTAATTTTAATTCCACCGACCCCCCCCCCTTCTTTTTAGCCGTTTTCGTTTTTCCGTCCCTAAGCGCATTGCTATCCAGAATTATTTATCATTTGCCCTTTTAATGGGGTTATTCAGGCTGTGAAAAAAATGATTGTTTTCCGTTTTTTTTTCGTTTTTTTACGTCAAAAAATCCAATTCAGCGATGTAAAAAAACGAAAAAAAAAACGGAAAACAAACATACGCTTAATAGCCCCATAAAAGGCAATGTCTGAGAAGTTCAAAAACTGCAGGTCACTCAAAATTCAGAATGCTTCAATTTGTCCCATATTATACCCAATGGGTACTTACATAACAATAATACATCAGACAAGTTTTGGTCCGGCTTCGTGGTCCCTAGTCCGATCACGGTCACAAAATAGGTCAAACCTGTAATAATTTCAAAAAAATGCTAGCGTCTCAGACTCAACGCTATTGGATTCCTCGCATCTTTTTGAGTATATTTCACGTTGGGACCAAAAATTTGGCACCCCTCCTTTATGGAGAAAAACATTGGTTTGTAACATTTTTCAGAAAATTTTTCAGTTTTCTGCTCGTCTTGAAAAATTTTAACACTACATAGCCATGATTTTATTGCTGATTCTGAATCTAGACATTATTCACCCCGATCCCGATTGACATCAAGGGGTTTTTTGGCCGAAATTCACAAAATTTAGAGTACTTTTGCATGGAAAAATGTTCGCGAACTTGAGAAAAGTGCGTTTTCTCAATTTTCGAAAG